GTTTTCTGATTTAGCTAGGAAGAGAGTTTAATGAAATTGAAAAAAAACTAAACAGTAATGATTTTATCTATCTTTCTGCCTGTAGTTGCTACTTTTACGAAGTAATTTGTCTTGGCAATCGAGCTATATTGGCTGAAACAACTATTCTTTCAATTCCTATCACTTCACACAGGTCGGTTGAGAAGCAGCAACTTGAGGTGAAAAGACAGAAGTTATGCTTTTGTCTGTACTGAAGTGTAATGGTAGTAGGGTATCTCCATTAAACAACCAGCATCTGCTGCGATGTCGCTCTCATACAATGAAAGGAAGAGGTTAGAAAACGTTGGTCCTCAAAATGTAACACCTCACTTTACCCTACGGATGTTGGTCTGCGGTGATAGGGTATTTCGAAGCATGGAGTTAACATAATAAAAACTTCCCACAGAAATGCTGTTTGATCAATCACAAGTAGTCGTTTCCTTGACTCCGTGGGAGCTGCCAGATCGATACGACCATTGCTAATCTAGTTTCCTTCTCAGGTCCTTCCACAATATGGGCAGTCGTGGAACGAGAGCCGCTACGATACTTCTGGCAACGCCAGAGATCACCTAGATCGAGATCAAGTCCCTCCGCCATCTCTTAATATTTCTTCCGTACCCACGACTAACTCTTCCCTTACTTTATCACCACGTGCCGAAAATCTTAACGACTCGAGTTCACCAAATTTTATTTATCTCTTGAAACCGCACCCTAAACTACATGGTGACGCTGCTAATGTTCAAACTTTATGACAAATAGACCAAGACTTCCTGAGCTAGGTCTTTAGAATTACGCACCGTCGACGAGTATGTACCTAAGTGGGGTAACTTACCACCGCTCACCTATTAGATACAGAGAACCGGCACGACTTACTCTCTGTGTATCTAGAAACTTTAGTGCCACTTTTCGCAGAGTGACTGGGGTAGATATAGAACAAAGTTCATCAGCGGTATACTGGGTCCCAATAAACAGTCGCTTGTGAACTGTCCAACTGAGTAGGGCGGAGTAAGAACAATATGGAAAGGTGGGAAGACTCACTGTTGCCTCTTCGTTTTTTCTGCCTGCGTTTCCACTGACTGCACTTCGGATGAAGTAAAGAATGTTCACTTTTAACTCGTTTCTCAGCTACTTCGGTATGAGGCACACTAATACACGATTTGCAGAACCAAAGTAGGTGGGGCGGAGATCGAATACGAGATCTAAGGGAGTGTTGAACGCCCGCACCATTAGAATACCGCTCAACAAGTAGAGGACGAGTTTTACGGAAAGCTTCCTGCACTCCTACAAAAGGCCAAACGCTTAGACTTAGCAATCATAGTACGAGAAGCTAACGACCTAATAGACAATTTACACCATAAGTAGGTCTTAGTGTCCCAGTCCAACGAACAGACAACGGCGACCATCGATTGCAACTACGACCAGCGAACCGCTTATGCTGATCAAGTATCAACTTTAAGCATAAAGAGACATCTAACATGGTGACCACAACCTAGTCGGACCACGGAAACACGTAGACCATATCGTTATCAGCCATCGTTGGAGAGGGCATATGTTCAGACTCTGGTCATCCTCTATTACGAGCACACATTTGTTTGCTCGTTACTGAACACAGAAAACGTACAGCAAGAAAACTTCTTAGAGTTCAACTCAACAACGAAACCTGCAAGAATATCCTTCAGCAACAAATAAAGGAAACATTCATTAATCGTCATATTGATGTTTATCCTGAGATGGGTTGGTATGATATCCAGAAGATTTTAAAAATATTAGTCGTACGTATGAGTAAATATAACCAAAAGGTAAAGAAGAATCAGATCTTAAGTGTCTACCGAACTAATGGATGCTAGAAAACTCATCACATGAAGCTCGGAGAACGAGGAGCGAATGCAACTTGGAAGTAAACTGACAAAAGTTTATACAATGATCGAGAGTAGTGATTGACAGCGAAAGAAAAAGATGCAGGAAAGGCGTGGGTGATATGTAACTATAAACAACTCTTTGAACTTATCAAGGAAATAGGCTTTAAAAACCAGTGTTAGTGAGACCTTCTGGAACAGATGACGCAATGATCCGCCCTCAACCTAGTAGACTGAAACAATTAGGATAGCACTTTGAAGAACAGTCTAACTTTCCTTCAGCTACTGTTCAGTTCCCTACTTTTACAAGACAACTTAAACGGAATATCCAGATGAGCCCTCCGACTTTTAATGAAATGGAATGTCATAGATTATTCACCGTGAAGGAGAACAGCAAGTCTTAATGGATTACCCGGATATGTAAGGATAGTAGTTTGATTTCAGCTGTTGGATTCACTGAGATACTAGCTAGTATCTGGTATTTGGACGTAATCTGATCCGTTTGGTCTCGATAGCTAATCGTTCAAGTTGACAAACAAAAGTACTACCGTGATGACCACAGAGGAATTAGTTTGACTTACAGTGTCTAAAATATTAGTCACAATCATTATCCAACACTTTATTAGAGCTCATGAAGAGCGAACTTAGGAAAACTGGCTGGTTTTAAACACAAGGACCAATGTATAGACCAGTTAATCAGGTCTTGTAAAATTCTTGAACGTATACATACCCAATGACTCCCAACAACAGCTGTATTTGTGGATCGTCTTTGTAGATCAAAAGGTCTTATGAGAGCTTTTTATTTAAAAACCTACAAAAAAGTACATTTCTCTTGTACAAGTTCTGCTCGAACACTATTTGTCAAGTCAGAGCTTGCAGCGAACTGTCATCGGAATTAACAACTACAAGCTTCGAACAGTATTGTCTGCTTTCCCGACCTTTATTTGACTTTGTCATAGACATTTTTTAGAGGAAGTCAACTTTCTAACATGAAGTTTTCCTGATGACACATAGATTATACAGTTCTTATCGGTGAAGACACTAAAAAAATGCAATTTCTGATTTCCTTAAGTAACAACAATAGCATGTTTGAGATATGTTAATTTGAATCCAAAAGAAGCATGTTGCTTCATGACTAGTCTGTATCACCCCCAAGATGATCACATGGTGCAGAGCAGACAAATGTGTTGATTACTCCACTTTAGTTGGAAGTTTCATCAACCCTAGTGGGTTGGTGTCTGAAGAAATATCAGCACAAAGTCATAAACCCCAGTTGGCTTGTCACTTGCGGCACAGGCGAGATAAGTGTGCCAAAGGAATATTATACTACCCAGCGGTTCGCTCCACTATACTTGATGCTGGTGAAACATGCCCTTTGAGAATAGAGAATATTCATAGATTTTCATTAATCCAACATAGTTGATTTCGAATTGTTCGCGCATTTGAGAGCATAGAGTTGGTAATTATGAAGTTATACGCAGAGTACTAGGTAAGGGTGATTAATCGATTGATGCAGTGGAACTTTGTTGACTGGAGAAGCTATGGTGATAATTACGTGTCCCGGTCCACCGACCATCGTGAAGCTCAATGATGGCTGGCTCAGTAGGTTGGAAGAAAGCTATGGAGTCAAACCAAGACAAAGCACTGAGTGGGTGGAGAGCGCGTGATTATTGTGACCTATGATTAGACTTCGGATGATATTGGCTTAAAATCGCCCACATTGGTACAAGTAAATTAGCTCCTTACCTTTCTTTAGTTCCTCAGTCTATAAATTGCCTCGTGATTTCTTTTGTTACACGAATCCATACTTTTTCGACGACACAATACTCTGACAGTTTTATCTCGCTGTTAATGGGGTGTGGCAACTTGACCTTGTGTATTATATATACATCAAGCCCTGTCTCTCAGACGTTAGTGAAAAAGCACCTACCGGTTGTATATCAGTAACAAGGCTTAAAAATTTCACACATGCTGGTTCTGTCCTGTACTAATCACCAAAGAACATTTACAATCGCACAACGGCAGCTTTGTATTCAAGGCGGCCACAGTTCAGCTGCATTTTTCTTAAACAGTTAAAAATTATTTGTATTTCCGAATTTCGTGTATTAAGAAATTTTGTGATTCTACAACCATCTAACCATCCTGAAAAAGTAGCATAACTTAGGTGGAATGATTTATGCACTTCGCTGCTAAAATTCCCATTAAGCTAATGCTTTTTTACGTTATTCAGCTGTTAATAGAGCATACATTTGGAACTTGTATTGCATGCACAACGGGTGAAGAGTGAGAACAACATTATTAGTGGTTTTAATAACAATGTATCGGCACAAAACTTGTAGGACGATAACCAATAAACAAAGCAGACTAATACGATGCTGACAGAAAAACTTACGTACCTGATACGAAGACATACGAACGTCTTAAGTAAACTCAGGCGAATTAAGCATCACAGGTAACTCCATAATTGAGTGACGTCATGGTCGAATATAGTAACGTCTACCAACACCTTTTTACAGTTGCTACGCCAGGAATAGACCGGGAATAATAGTTTATATACAATGTTGTCGAACTTAAATGAACGCTTCCAACCTCATCGTACTATAAGCATAAGAAATACCCTGATTTTAAATAATAAACCACATAGTCAAAGTGGGGTAACTCTTGATGAAGGATAGATTAAAGCCACAGAAAAAGTACAGCATGTGAAAGGCGATATCAGCACTTGGTTTGCAAACGAATGAGTTCAAGTAAAATATTCGACATGCAGTCAATATACATCAGATTTTGAGTAGACGCGTTTCAATAAGTCTCGTCAATCCAAGAAGAGTCGCTATGACTAATGCTCTCCTATTCATTTCATAAGACTGGGAGTTCTAAACAAACCCTGCATTGCGACAGATTTCACAAAGTAAACCCATAATGGAAGCATACGAAAAATTAGTCACCTACCCAAATGAGAAAATAACTATTCTTTTGATTAACTACTCCCTAGTCGATAACAAAAAACGGCTCATTACAACTTATTTTTGTGACAATCAATTAAACCTGATTAGTCTTGGACCCGCTTAAATTCTAAGCTACAAACAACAGCACTAAGCTTCATTAACAAAATAAAAGCCGGTGAGTATCCGTAAAATATGTTTGTTAAGCCTTATAATATACAAGTCTAAGAGTAACCATACTGTTTAAGGATTGCTTGATATGGTGCAATCGCCTCTTTAGCTCGTCCTCTTACAACCTCGCTCGGTTTCTTCAGAAGCTTTTTCCTTTTATACCAGACAGCTGCCTTGGCTTTCCGACGATTCTCCATCTTTTCGATTACATTCTTATATTTCCACCCGACGTCGTTAGACAATCGAGATAATACAGAAAACTATGGAAAAGTAAAATGCAATTAGACAACCAACCTTTCGTCCTGGCTTCAACCGGATTGCTCGTAAAGCTGAAGGAACAACCATGCGTTTCTTCTTGTCGTATGGAGGAGGTATGCCTTCGAAAACTTTGAGTCTGTCAAGAGCCTGTTTTCCACGGTATAACTTGTGAGGAAGCATACCACGAACAGTACGCCAGAATATTTTTGCGGGTGCTCTGAAGTGATATGGACCTCTCGATGGGTTGGTGTTCATACGCTTCCTAAGGAAGTCAAGATATTTCACTACGAAGTAAACTTAACAGCGGTGACCTACATTTGTTTCGATAAAACGATCCTGATATATTGATGCCTTCACACCGTACTACAACTATTTTTTGACCATTGAGCAGTGTTTTGGCCACAACAGAGGCCAAACGACCAAGAAGATGGCCTTGTGCATCTATAATTATGGGCTAATATTATGGATAATTTAAATTTAGTCTCTCATTACCTTCTTTTGGAAACTCATGCCTACACGAGTAATACCACAAAGTGCGCACTAATAAGGAGTGAGGATTAAACAAAATGTGAACTTCAATTATCAATCAACGGTACTTCGAAATAATTATAGACGAATAGATGAGTGTTCACCTTACTAAAAAAAGCATTTTTCAAAGTGATGCTAAAAATTGATTATGCTGAAAATTTTACACAGTTTCGATAGTGAACATAAAAAGTTTTTAGCATTCACATCTGTTTCAGTTTCAGTTTCAGTTTGGGAAGGACAGGAGGCTCGACGGCCTATGTTAGTCCTGGCAATGGTGGTCTCTCAGTTGATCCAACTTTCTTTTGAAAGAGTCGACGGATGGAGCCTCAACCACGTGCTGAGGTAGTGAATTCCACTCGTTGATTATTCGATGGGAAAGTCGATAGTCAGCTGACAAGTCATTTGTTCTCGGCTTGTGAACTTTTTTGGAGTGTCCTCGTAAATTCTCTGTTTTGGAAGACAAGAAAAATGAGGGCATGTTAGGTGCAAATTTATCACTAAGCAATTTGTAGACTGTATAACAAAATGTTGGTGAATCCCTTTCCTTCATAAGGGGATAGATTATGTCAAAATTCGGAGATGAGTGAAACGAAATAATAAGGCTTGATCGCTGTATAAATGGCTGATGAGATCTCTAATAACAAATACACGTCCTTCTACAGAATTTCGACTTGTCACTCTATGGAATTCAGTTTGGAAAGGACAGGAAGCTGGGCTTGTGTTGGTTCTGGCAGTGGTTGTCATATATTGAAGGTCTGAGTCAATATGAGTTTTGGCAAGAAGATTCATATCTTGCACCAGAGTACTATAGATAACCGCATCAACTACTTTCTTTTCGGAGAAATTTACAGAAAACTTGGTCCTTAGGTTTTTCCAATCTACTGTAGGTGAACTCAAGTCTCCTAAGCTTAAACATCGACCGCTTGACGACCAATTGTTGAAACTGTGTGGCAAGGCTTCACCCGCCTCACAGTAGAGTGAATACTTGATCTCTATCATCTTGACATGTGCTTAGTTGTTTGAGGTCAACTCTTAACCAATCAACTCGAGCTGTTAAAAACCCAGTTTCTGTGATAGCAGTTGCATCCAGCTTGTCAGTTTCTACGTTCAGACCTATTTTCGATAACCTACTGAGTATTCTTTAATCATCTGTATAGAAGTTCCGAAGACCGCTTAACGGCACCAAAAGTGGCTTTGAACTCATTTACTGTCGATAAATCACCTCCCAAAGTTTCGGAATTTAAGGAGGAGGACATAATATTTTGGATATTCACAGGGAGCCACGGTGGAGTCAATGATCTGAATAGTTTCAACCGGGCTGAAATAAAATAACTTGCAAACCAAGGCCGAAAACATTTGCTTTTGGCCTGCAATTCGCAAAAAAAGACTAAACAATCCAAGCCCTGTGCCTGAAAATCTTCAGTAGTTCCCATCTACACTATCTTTGAGTCTTTCTCATGAACAGGATTGGGAGTTTAATGTTACGGATAATCGACTGCATCAATCTTATTGATAAGTCTTGTCGAGTAGAACGCTATATTTATTTCCTAAGCTATTCCGATGACCCGCATGCTAGAACTACACAGCGACTTGAACACCAGAGAGAAGACGCAAGTATGAGAGAAAACACTTTACTCCAATGTTCATTTTATTGCAGAAAATATAGGGTTTTTATGATATATCTAAATGTCCTTGGGTCGCTGGAATATTCTGAAATGCTACTAAACATAGTAGCACTGTAGTAGCCAACCAATCAGAGTGTCCGCATGTGACGTTCCTCTACCTTAATATTTCTGGCCAAGACTCCAAATGAACGTTGATTGGGCGAAACACTTCTTAGTGTTTCTTGATGCTTGCTTGTCTTTTGCAAGCGGTTTTTGGATCACCCCAACACAGATGTGTAGACTCCCGGTTACCCTTATGTTTTCTGCTGTTGACGTGATCAGCACGTGTGGGAAAATATTCAGCGTGATAAACATAGGGCTATGTGATCCTTTGTTATTTGAAATATCGTAACTATGGCATTTTTAAACTTTATCAACCTTTAATCGTTATGTCTCTGTTAACAAACCAGTTAGATTGTGTAGTTCAGTATCGGAGGGTGAGTTACTTCATAAAGTGGCCGGAACTCTTGTTTTAAAGAAAGACGTGGGACCTAATGAAGTCTAAAACTGAAAAATCAATATTTTTTCAACATACATAACTAATTATTCCTTGCTTACGTTGCTAGTCAATGTATATTTAGGTTATTCACATGTAATATTTGCTTGAGCTTGATATTTGAACATATTTATTCCACTGAAGCATGTAAATGCTATTAAAGGTTGTTAACGAACCATCAAAGCTAATTATTATAAATGACCAGTTATTGGTATGCTATGAATACTAATCAGTATAAAATTACAATAATACATGTGAGCATTAATCAGAGGACCAGTAGAATTCTGGTTAACATAAGTAAAAATCGATCGAGAAAGTTAAGGGGAAAATAAGGATTAATAGTAATAGGCTGCGTTTCTTCAGTCGGGCTTACCAATATTGAGTTATGGTATACTATGATATTAGTACTGCGCTAATAATAGACCTTATCCTAAAATTGTAGACTTGTCATGATGTGCCTGCCTAATCTATAAGATCTTACATAGAAGTCATACCATCGTCTACACTGACTCATCGTAACGTTACAATCACCGATACATGATGTAGAACAAGGTGGGGCTAAAGATAGAACATATTTAATATGCATAAAAGACATAAGATAACGTTCAACAAGGACCACGCCTGCAAGGTCGAGCCATGCCATTCTTTCAACTCCAGTCAATCCAATTCATTGTTCCGCACTATCCATCGTTGGGTTTTTCTCCGCGTTAAGTATGGAATATCTATTTCCTCAATTGTCTCGTATTAGGGCACAATGCCGCCACAGACTCACCGAGCTGAGGGTACTCGATCATGCACCCGCACTAGATCACGAGTGGGAATGCCGTGCTCAGCATCCCTTGCAATCGCTAACAAGATTAGATCAGTTGGTCCACGATATATTGATAGTCTATCAAATATATCTTCGAACCTCCTCGCTTATGTCTTTTGATTTCACTTGTTGGATACGATTCATATTAGAAAATGTTACTGGTTAAGGCGTTGTCAAACTGTAAATACATGTGGGATCTTCAAATCTGTCAACTCTGTTAGTTTCTTATGATTATTTGAGATTGAGCCTTGTTGTTTCCATCGGGTATTCTAGTTTGAAAACTTTATTCAGTTTTGTCTACTAATAGTGGTGTTGTACTGCATGATGTATATCAGTTGGATTATGATTCATGGAGAACTACGTAGCAGTATTTTTCAGTCAAAATGGGAGACAGGAATGACCAGCTACATACAGATTTATAATTCGGTGTTTTAAATGGCACATGATACGTGAAATATGAAACTATTGATAAATACGAAAATTTTCATACGCAGTTCGTTCTCAACATAGTAGCGCTCTATTGCCTTGTGCTGAACTCTATTCACAGATTCATTACAGACTTTTAAATAAATAGTGTTACAATTTTGGGTGTGTAATATCTGTGAAGAAAGTTTATCGCATTTTGATGGGTTTAAATAAAAATGTACTGATACCAGACTTTGAAAGAGGTTGATGGGATCGTGAGAGCTCTACCTGAGGGATATATAAGGTAATGAGGTAGTGAAATCAAATGTTAGTCAATTAATGGGAGTGAATGGTAGCAGTTTTATTGGATAATGAAGAAAGATCAAGAATATTTGAATACTAATCAGTTAGGAGTAGAGCATTTTCACATTGGTGTGCTGAAAAAATTTTAACAGTAAAATTCAGGTAAAAGTCGGCTCAGTTTTTGAGTTTTATTCTTTTATCAAAGACAAGCCAGACCCGGATTTTAAAAGGTTTTGTCTAAAGTTTATGAGAACTTCACTCCCCATTTGAATGGTTAGTTCCACAACAAATGAGCACCAAGGTAATTGATAGTACTAGAAATAAATGGTATTTCCTAAGAAATCAGCATTTTGAACTTAAATAATTTCAACGTTTCAGCTGACTAGTATAGTCCAAGTTTATAGAAGGAAATGATCGAACATTAGAATTATCAAATGTAAATGCTGTCCATAAATTAACTGCGAACTAAACAACTAGTTCAGCCATATTTTTGTGTGTGCTATTGATGTTGACTGATGGAAACAGTGTGCATCATAAATCGAAAGTGAAATGTCTGGAGACAAAAGGTAGAGAAAATCAGAAAAAAGAGGACGAGAGCAGAAAGTGATTGGTATGGAAACGAAGGGACAATTAAGTCTGCGACAATTGATGAGTATTTTGCAAATAAGGTATTTACTGTAAGGTTCTCAGGTTTTATCAAGTTGTTCCGTAATATTGTACTAAAATAAATTCGATAGTCCCCACTGGTGTTCTTGTTCACAACAATATTAATAAATGAAGTCATGTTGTAACCTTCGATCATCTGACTCAGAGATAACACACAAGGAGTATAAACACCAATCCTCTGTATTATTCCCTAAAATATTTGGGTAATATTAAAAAGAAACGTAGTGCTTGAGTTTTTCCTGGGACAATGCAGAATGTTTTTGGGAACGCCGAACGTAAATAGGTGATTTAGCCAGTGTCGTCTGAGATGTCCCGATTTAGTGGGAATAAAAAGAGAAAAATAAGTTCGGTCCGAAATCATTTCTCAGTATTCTGTACATCAAAATTAGATCTCTCTTTAGTGTGCGATAGGACAGAGTAAAGAGGTTTAACTTTTCAAGCCGCTATTTGTACGATAAACCCCGGCGTCCTAGAAATGCACGGGTCGCTGCCCTCTGTACTTTATTTAGTATGTCCGAGTCACCTTTTAAGCAGGGGCTTGCAGCCTGAACGCAGTTCTCTAGCTTAGTTCTCACTAAGGACGTGTATGCTGTGGTGAACATGATAGTATCTAATTTAGTGAATGTCCTTTTTAAAGCACAGAGGGTTCGAGAACCCTTAGCTGCGACCTCCCGGCAATGGGCCGTCGTCTTAAGATCATGACTCACTGTCACCCCTAGATCCTTCTGAAATTGGATTACGGGTAATGGCACACCCCCCATATTGTAACTATTAACCTTTGAATCCCCAAAGTGCACGTAGACACACTTTTCCGCGTTGAAAGGTGTCAGCCACTCTTTCGACCAGTTTATCATGTTATTTAAGCCTGCCAGAAGAGCACATGCGTCTTTGTTGTTACTGGCCGGATTTTTACATCGTCAGCGTATAATAACATTGGAGACTGTACTGTACTTGGAAGATCATTAAGATACATCATAAAAAGTAAAGGACCTAAAACGGAACCTTGAGGTACCCCACTAAGTACTGGTCTCCAGATGGAGCACTTGGAATTTATCCTTACTTTCTGTCTACGACCTATTAGTAAATCCTTAAACCATTTTAAAAGAGGTCCAGCAATACCAAGGTATTTTAACTTCAATATCAGTCTTTTAGGTGGCACCTTGTCAAAAGGGTAGAACACGAAAGAACATATATAAAATGCCTAAAAAATTTCCGCGGATAGAATTCATATTCTTCGGCGTCAATTATCGGAAGTTATAGTGGGGAAATATTTTACAGATTCTTTGAAGCAGGACTTGAAATCCAATTCAATTTGTGCGGTACCAAAAGGAACTACTTCAGTCTTCAGTCTTCAGTCTTCAGTAATAAGGATAGTAGGTTGATGAACCTGTGTTAATCCTGACACATTGCTTTCCAGTGAAGGTCCAGCTTTTCCTTGAAAGTATTCACTGATGGGGCTGATACCACTTGTTCGGGTAAGGCGTTCCAATCATTGACTACTCGATGATAAAAACGGGATCCCACTTTAAGTTTATTAGATCGTGGTTTATGAACCTTCTTGCTATGACCTCGGAGATTAATAGTGCTGGAGGGAGCAAAAAGATAAGACATATTAACACCCAAATCATAATTAAAGATACGAAATGCCAGTATAAGGTCACCTCGTGTCCTACGATACGACAAGGGGAAAAGATTTAGGCGTTTTAAACGCTCATCGTAAGGGAGTCTAGAAAGACCCTTCATTAATTTCGTTCCTACACGCTGGACACGCTCAAGGGAGTTAGTATCCTTTACCAGACACGGGCTAGCTGCTTGCATACAGTACTCTAAATGTGGTCTAACATATATGGGATATAAAATTCTAAACATTTCCTCGTCAAAAGATTTGAACGCTCGGCGAAGTGACCATAACGCACGAAAACCGTTGACAGCGGCTGCTTTGCAATGCTTAGTTGTTTTTAAATCATGACTTAATATTACTCCTAAGTCTTTATGCTCTTGAACGCATGGAAGAGGTTTACCCTCAATAGTGTAACGGTAACTATTACCGTGACCGATGTGCATTAGCACACTCTTCCTAGCATTGATTTCTAAGCCCCACTCTCGAGCCCATCTAACTAAATCGTCTAAGTCAGCTTGAAGATCCACATGATCAGCCGCACTTTTTATTGTTCTCCAGATTTTTACATCATCCGCAAACAATAATGTCGACGACCTAAGTAACAGCGGTAACTCATTAACGTAGAGAAGGAAGAGCAGAGAGCCTAAGATGGTGCCTTAGGGTACACCACTTTTGACCGGCTTCCAATCGGATAGCGTTCCGTTGACTCTAACTCTCTGTCTGCGGTCACATAAGAAATTTCCTATCCACTCATGTACAGTGCCTATTATTCCGAAGCTCGTGAGCTTCTGCATAAGACCCACGTGTGAAACCTTGTCAAATGCTTTGCTGAAATCTATGAATATCACGTCGACAGACAGACCGTTATCTAGGGCTGCTGTCCAATCCTCCCTCGCAATAAGCAAGTTAGTCAAGCATGAACGCTTGTTACGAAATCCGTGTTGCTCAGGAGCTAACAGATTGTGTAAATCTATGTGGCTTAGCAACCTAACCCGAATTATTTTTTCCAGTAACTTAACGACTATGCTAGTTAGACTGACAGGTCGGTAGTTAGATGCTATCTGTCGCTGACCGTCCTTAAATATAGGACTAACTATAGCGTCCTTCCAATCTCTAGGGAGTTGAGCGAGTGAGAGGGACATGTTGAAGAGTGTCGCAAGCGGTTTTGAAATAATGTCCGCAAAAGATGACAGCAACCGTGGATGTACCCCGTCAGGGCCCGGTATCTTACCAGGTTTGAGGTTAGTTATCAACGGAAGGACAGTTTCCTCAGTCACCTGTACAGATTCGATGGTTGGTATCTCGGTGTGAGTGGGACAAGTATTTGTTACAATAATCGTTGAGAAGACTTCGCTAAAGTAGTCTGAAAAAGTCTCAGCTTTTGCTCGATCTGATTCAGCTAGTAATTCTGAATTGTCGTGTAACAGTAACGGGGGAATACTATCACTACGTTTCATTTGCCGTTTAACATACGAAAACAATCGTTTCGGACAAGTACGGCTATCGTATACTAACTGTCGTTCGTAAGTGGTACGAGATTTGTCTATGGTTTTCTTACAGATATTACGGTATTTTTGGTACTCACGCTTAAATGGTGCATGACCTGTCAACAAGAATAAGTCCCAGAAATGTTTCCTACGCTTTAACAGCTTCCGGGTTTTCTTATTAATCCATGGAGGGCAATGTGATAGCTTACGTGCTGACCATGGGATAAACGGCGACGTTACGGATTCGAATGTAGCCTTGAACTTATTCCATTCATCTTCGATCAATCCATCCGCGTCGACCGACCAATCAGTCGAGATAGCACAGTTTCTGATTTCCGGAATATTGGCTCGCCAGATATTGGGACGGGGTGGAGCAGATACGAATTGTATACCATGTGTCCTAAACTTAAAGTGAATTACAACGTGATCACTGTTCACTAGTGGAGGAAGGTGCTGGATATCAAGGACATCCTCAGAGTGGTGGGTGAGGGCGAGGTCCAGCAGTGACGGAACATGTTGCGAATCAATATGTGTCGGTTTTATGATACATTGTACAAGTGCACACTGAATAACGGTAGATAAAAGGTCGCTATCGAAACCACTACCTGGAGCTGTAAGCTCTATCCAGTTGATATGCGGTGCGTTGAAGTCCCCAATGATGAGACAACATTCTGCCATACTCCAAGAACAGATGTGTCTTAGGATAAAGTCGTCAGCAAGACAAGACGGACTACGGTATATTACCCCTATAGTCACTAACCCATTTCTAGATTTAATCTTACAACATGCAACCTCACATGTGCCACTGATATGAGCCTCTGATATGGTTGATTGTATACGAAAGTGATCCCTAACATATAATATTACACCTCCCCCTTTGCGACTAGAAACTCTATCACTTCTGATACAGATATAACCAGCAATGAAAGGAGGACAGTCTACATCAACGGTGAACCAAGTTTCTGTAACAACGATTATATCGGGACGTAATTCTTGTACCATCAGACTTAGCTCGGACGTTTTATTTCTAAGACTACGAGCGTTCGTGTAGCACACACTTAAGGTGTTTTGGCAATCAATCGTTCTACCCATACAGGCCTCGGAAGCATTGGCTTCCAAGACCTGACTACCCGAAAACCCTTAATGGTAAGGTTATTTTCGCCATTTAATTTACGAGTCCTCAACTCCGTAAGAGCATTCTTCCACTTGATTCGATCCTCAAGTGGCCAATCTGGTCGAATACGGATATTTGAGTCACGAGTTTTTAGTGCGCTTTTCAATAATATGTCTCTTTCATCAATACTTCCGAGAACCAGCTTCAGGATTCTTCTTGGTTGGGTCTCGCCTCCAACCCATTTACCAAGTCGTATTACTTTTGTAATATGTACTCCTGAAACCTCTTCAGGTAGTACATTCCTTACCACAGACTCCACTAACTGCAGGTCATGTGCATGTCTTCTAGCAGGGTCGTTGTCTTTCGACTCCTCTAGATTCCAAATAATTAAACTAGGGAGGGGTTTGGCTTCTTTTGAAACTGTGTTTACAGCTTTTGAACGTGACGTTAGATCCTGTATTTTAACTACTGGTATCTTACGATTAGTTTTTATTTTAACAGAGTCCTGGGAGTCAAGCGAATGACTCACAACAATGTCAGACGAAACTTTACTATGGGACTTTGGCGGATTGGCCTGAGAGTCCACCAAGGACTTACCAAGTAAACAGTCATTAGTTTTAGCTATCTTTCCTACTCTTCTGCGTTTTCGCGTCATCCATTTTCCATCAGTCGAAATGTCTACATTAGAACAACTCGGGACAGTAATTGTTTTATCTGGGTCACCGGTTGCTGCTGTAGCAATATGGCCACCAACGTCTAATGACGTGTCACTCACTGAACGTTTCGGAGGAGAACGTTTAACTGCTGGTTGCACAGGTAGATGTCTGGCTTGCGCCGTGATAGCACTTACGACACTAACGCAATCTTCGCCATCAGTACCAATGTTATCAGTACAGCCTTCATCAACCTTCTTATTAGCCAACACCAAGAGACTAATTGCTTCCTGGATAAGCAATGTTTTGCTTGAGCAACAAAAACTACAAAGCCAGTGAGAGTTGGGCTTTGAACACCTTTTATATGCAGTGGGGCTTAGTCGGGTGCACATCTTATGGAACCACTTATTACACTCATCACATTGCATCCCTTCATCCACGGGAAATAAGCAGTATGGTTGTCCACATTTATGAGTAGACTTAGCCATCGTGAAAATCAACTCGAACGGTGATAAAAAAATAGGATATGTAAAAGGATTTTCAAACCTTAACTAAAAAACCAAGTAAAAGTCGACCAAGTATGCTTCGATGCAATAAATACACAGAAGCAAAATCAAAAAACTCAATACAATATCACTTTAACTGGGGTAGATGCAATTAAAGTGTAAACAGTAGTTTTGATGCGTAGTTTACGATCAAAACAGTTAATTAACTCAACGAGAAAGAATACCACTGTCCTTTTGAATAGAGCGCGCGTTATTCTCCCCAAATAATCAAGAATGGTTCAATAAGGACATTTGTTGTCAAATGATATTTTTGTCATTTGAGGGACGAAAAATATGCACATTTTTTAAACCGAGAATGCTCTCTCATGACCTTGGTGCTATTTTGTTAAAGTCCCAACTTTTGATAACTTGCTTTTGGCGATCGAATTGAAGCATAATTACCTTCAAAACATTTCAATATAGTTAGCTGCATCGGGTACTAAAACAGCTGTTTCAAACCGGATACTGTTGGATCATAAGAGTAAATAAATTCCATACTTCATAGCTCAAGTCAATTGGTGACGGTAGTAGACGGTAAGCGGAATGTACATCAAAATGTTGTCCCAGACGTATGTTTATAAAGTTTTAATTGAACTGGAGGTCTAGGTTATAGCACAATTGTTCTGTTTTTTTAATATTCCAATTTGTTCATAATTATGTCAAAATTGTTTAGGTAGTGTAATAAACGATAATTGCGTGTCGATGTTACTGTCTTCATATTAATTCTTGAAGAAGTCCCAAGCTTTATTTCCACAAGCAACTAATTTTTTAGTACTGGTAACTGACTGCTGGGCTGGCATTGATTTTATTGTTCATAGTGTGCATTATGATACACACATCAGCATAGTGCTTTAGTGACTAGGTAGTTGTTGAGACTTATCTTTTCGCTCACTCAGTATTCAGTCTCATGGTTCCGTTCCTGGTCGAATTCGCCACTGACGGTATTTTAGAAACTCTTTAGATGGTCGTCGTGTAAATCTTTTGCCTCAAGATTAATTTTTCAAACTTAAGTATGATGATAGTGACATTTTACTGTGCGACGATAAGCATAATATATTCTAGGATTTTGTTTGGTCATCACTGTCCCTGGAGGCCTCATTTTTAATGACCACAGGTACTGCAGGTGTCCGAAAATACTTTTGGGGACAGGATAATCCGATTAGTGTCACCATTTTAGGACATCGACTTAATTGGGTTAAAACTCTTCTACAAATTTTAGTCCGGAAACTTTAAACCGTGTACTATTTGGGAACTCTATTTAGGTGAGAATACATACGTGGTCAGTTTGTAGTAAAGTATTATGGTAAGAAATAAACCTACATATGATTAACTTGTCTATCGGTCAGGTTTCCTCAATCGGGGTTGTAAATATAATTGAACTCAGTGGATTGAGATGCTATCAGATATGATTCGTAATGGAAGCTAGTAGTAATCCTTCAGTTTTCTATGAAATCCTCCATAAAAGTGAGACCAGCTTCCCTGTGAGAAATATTTGTCATTCGTATTTTTAATTGATCGTTTTTCATAAACGTTATCCTTTTTTGGCCACACATTTTAAAGCTTTTCTTCATAATCTTATCACTTTATTTGTATAGTTCATAATTTTAGTATCAGGATGTGTGTAGCATGGAGCCATAAATCAAGACATTTAAGGACGACCTTTGAACGAATCTTAAATGACCTTGACAATTATTAGCCAATCAGGGGACAGTAACTATAAAGTGAAAATATATTGTAAGTAATGAATTACAGTGGATATACTTTTACTACATTTAAAAACTTGTTAAGGTTTCATAAAGGTTCAGAGGTTCTGAATTCATAATGCATATGGTATAGAAACTCGTCCACAGGATTAGGGTTTAGGTTAGGGTTGTAGCATCTCAATAAACACCTCTTCTATAAAATCCGATGTAAACCGGTCACATGTTAGAACCCTAACCCCTAACACTAAACCCTAAATTTAACTCTAATCTTAAACCTAACCCTAACCTTAACCCTAAACCCCAACCTAACCCTAATCTTAAACCTAACCCTAACCTTAACCCTAATCTTAAACCTAACCTTAACCCTAATCTTAAACCTAACCCTAGCCTGTAACCCTAAACCCTAACCCTATGAACGAGTTTCTATACCATATGCATTATGAATTCAGAACTTCTGAGCCTTTATCAAACCTTAACAAGTTTTTAAATCAGGCAAAAAAGAATATCTACTGTAATTCATTACTTTCTTGTAATATATTTTACTGTATATTGTCTTCTAATTGGCTAATAATTGAAATTGCTCAAACGCTTCTGATTGACTCGTCCCTAAATTAGAGTCTCGCCACCATAATTCTTTCACTTAAAATTTTATAGCAGTTTTTGCGAGATCTTCGGAGCTAATCCACATCTTGTGGCATGAGGTTATTTGATGTTCTACCTTTGCTTGTTTGGGCTATTGAATTATCGTGTACAAACTGAATGTCATTGGGGTCTTCATTCAAACATGGGAAAATCCAGTCATGTTTACGAGCCTATGACGTCAATAGATTTGACAACATAATGGTAATGGTTCTCTTTTAAACTATCACATTTTTCCAAGAAGCTAGGTGGTAATAGGATTCGATCTCATCAACCTTAGAGCATCGGTTACGCAACGCGTATTACGACTTATTCAGACACTTTATTAGTTCCATTTGCCATATTTCTCTATAGCATATCATAAAGCTTAGGAAGATATAAAATAGTAATTTACCTAGTGTCAAAACAGGAGTTATTGACAAAATTTAAACACAAACGATACATTTTCTGACTCTTAAAGAAACATTTCTTGATAGTACTTTGTTATTGCGATTGATTCGAATTTTATAACATTTTATTTTTTCATTGAGAATAGTGTACTTTGGTATCAAAAACATACGAAGTTCATGGACTTTGGAAAGGAACAACGGATTTCACCCAGGGTCTATCAATTAGCCCAAATAATTTATCGGGAGTTTGAAGTCATAAAGAAGGTCTATGGCGAATCCGCATACGGTGGATTGGTACCTATTGTTGTTGGTATTCTAGAAGAAATGGACCTCTTGACTGTGGATAAGCAGAAATTGGATCTTGACTTAAATCTTTTGACTGCCGAAAAGAATGATATTTCTGTACAGTTGTGTCGTCAAAAGGAGCTTTACATAGCTGCAAAAAGAGTATGTTTTAATCTAACATATTGTCATTAGGGTTGTATATTCAGCATATCCACTGTCTGGAAGATGAGCTGCTTGGTATGAAAAAAGAAACGGACAAGAAATTCGAAGAACTTGAGGAGAATTCGAGACACTATCAACTTCTTGCCAAAAACGCTAATGATCATAGTAAGTAAAGTTTGCTCAGCTGAATTTAATGTTACAATAAATTGTTATCATATGCTTAAAATACTTCTCAAAATCGTGAATGATGGATTGTTTTCTTATAAAGTACAGAATGTACGCTTTTTGCAATGGAAAAGCTAATTTGATAGAAAATACATGATACATATGATCATTAGAAGTTTCGTAAAACGACACCTAAACTATCACAGGACCCAATAAAATAGACTATTAAAATCTAAAGAGTAAAATTACTTGGACTTGAACAGCAATAATTTAGACTGCAGATAATTCCTAAATTTCTCCACTTGATTTTTTTCTGAGGACCACGCCTTGATGATTATTTAAGTAAATTTCTCACATACCACGACTAGCTACAGTGATTTGTAGTAGTCATATTATCATCTCTCTTAAAAGACTACTGACTAGTATATAAATGGAGCAGTTGACCATATGATTTTGATGACTATAAGGACGAGTATACCGCGCAGCAGTTCGTTCTGTTTTACTTAACGGCTGCGAAACGTGGCCATTAAGAGTTTAAGATTTATTTATTTATTTGAACACATAAATATTGGTACAAGAGAGCGTCAATATATATGCGCCACACAAAACAATGAAAATTCGAAGAGAGATAGAAAAAAAAACTAAGGAGCACAAAAGAAAAAGAGAACGATAACGAAGAGATTGGTGTAAGGTAGTATGGTCGTAACGATGGAACGGAAAGGTACAATCAGAAGAAATCTTTCAAGCAAGGGAGACACAACCACTTTTTATGAAGAAAGTAAAAGAAGGTTACAGCAGGATCGCCACTGGCTTCTATTCTGAGCCACTGTGTTGCACCATCTCTCAGACCCCAACCAGGGAGTCGTGAAGGACCGACAGAAGCCAGTCCTTTGCAGCTTTCTTTCATACCACGACACCATGTCATAAACTGACCACCTCTCCGCTTCTTCCAACCAGTCCCAGAGTCGGCAAATAATGCACGACTTGGAATTCTCTGGGTCGACATTCGTAGAACATGTCCAAGCCACCGAAGTCGGTGTTTCAAGATGGTGACACCAATTGAATTATCATCACTCTGCCCAAACACACGATGCCGAACCTCTGCATTACTGACACGGTGTTGCCACTGAATGTCACCAATCCTTCGGAGACAGCGATGATCGAACACAGAGAGTCGTTTAACGTCCTCAACTTGAAGAGGCCAGGTTTCACAAGCATAGAGCGAAACTGCTCTCACCGACTCGTTGTGGATCCGACCTTTTACAGCCAGACTAACATCACGAAGGCGCCAAAGGTGGCCCAGATTGGCATAAGCCACTCTGGCTTTCACTATACGTGCATTGATCTCATCACTCACACCTCCACCAGCACTTATGCAGCTACCCAGATACACGAACTTCTCGACTACGTCTATCTGCTCACCATCCAGAGTGAGTACGGGATTGGAATCCTGCCAGTCTTGTAGAAGTACTTTGCACTTCGAAGGTGCAAAGCACATACCATTCCTACGGATACTGATTGACAACTGATTAAATGCGGATTGCATGCCTTGGGCATTATCACACAGTAAGACAATATCGTCCGCATACTCAAAGTCGAGAAGTCTTTCTCCAGGTAACAGATCCACACCGCCATTACTTATATTCATCAGAGCTGTTTCCAGAATGTCATCGATGGCAAAGTTGAAGAGGAATGGTGAGATTGGGCAACCCTGTCTAACCCCATTGCTCGAATGGAACAATGGAGAGAGGTGGTTGTATGCCCTCACTCTGCCTGAGGTGTTTTTATATAGGGCTTTTAGGATGTTAATAAACTTCTCAGGCACACCCTTCTTCAATAGACAATCCCAGAGAACAGTCCTGTCCAACGAATCGAAGGCAGCCCTAATGTCAAGAAACACTACGGTTGTTGGCCTTTGATAAGTATAGCGATGTTCTAACATTTGGCGGAGGGTGAAGATATGATCAATACATCCTCGACCAGAACGAAACCCAGCCTGCTCCTCGCGAGTCAATCTTTCTCGGGTTTTGAACAACCTACGAAGTATGACGGAAGCCAATAGCTTGGATGCAATCGGAAGTAGACTTATCCCCCGATAATTGTTGCAGGAACGACGTGAACCCTTTTTAAAGATAGGGACAACTATCGACTCATTCCATGACGTCGGTACACTCTCTAGCTCCCAGACCTTTGTAAACAACACAGTCAGTTCCTTAGTCAGAAAGTCACCACCATCTTTAAAAAGAGCCGGAGGTAAGTCATCTGGGCCAGGTGATTTGTAGCGCTTCAAGAGTTGGAGTTCCTTGCAGACTTCCGCCTCATTTGCTGGATCGGTGGTGACCGGCCATGGAGGGCAGGACAGTCTGACCGATGCTGCAGGAGCAGCAGGCCAGTTGAACTGCCCTTCGAATAATTCTGCTCATCGTCCAAGACGTCGATGGATGTTAGTGATTGGCATCCCGTCATCCTCACAGATTGTTTCGCTCACACCAGACTTCTTGCTGCTAGTGGCTCGGATGAGTTGGAAGAGCTTCCGGTAGTTACCAGATGCAGCTGCTGCTTCCAGCTAATTAGCACGCTCCGGTCACCAGGCTTCTCGGTCCTTACGCAAGCTTTGCCCAATTTCCTTACGTAACATCCTTCGTTTATGGTCAAACTCACGGTCACCTGGAGTAGACCGACGGGCTTCAATGAGTTGTAAGGAACCAGAAGAAACCCAGTGCTTATAAGCGGGACGTTTCGCAAACCCACAACTGACTGTACCCGCCATTTTCATCGCGTCACGCAATTGCAACCAATGCTCATCTATACTTTTCGGTGGAATGGTAGCTAGCCTAGAGGCTAGCTCGGTTCGATACTTATTTGCAACAGAAGTTGCAACCAGCTTGCTAATATCAATCCTTTGGAGGCGACCACTTCGTTGTCCACTGAAAAGTAAGGCAAGATTGGCGCAGACCAAGGCATGGTCAGAGTCCAGATGGGTACTCCAAAAGGAGCGGTAGTCTTGTACACAACCACGCCAGCGGTAGCTCATCGCGATGTGATCAATCTGAGTCCAGGCTTGGGATGCAGAGGGAGGACTCCAGGTGGCACATCGGCGATGACTGTGTCGAAAGTTAGTGCTAGCCAGAAACAGGTTGTGGTCTGTGCGCAGTTGCAGTAGACGGTCCCCGTTATCTGACCTGCGACCAACAAGTCCCCATCGACCACCTAAACGACTCTCTTCTGTGCCTAGACGCTCGACCTGAGCATTCAAGTCTCCGGCTAGTACTACAATATCTGTCGAACGCACTTTCTGGAGAAGAACAGATAAATGGTGGTAAAACTCATCCTTGATTGCATCCGGGCTGCAATCTGTCGGGGCATAGGCGGAGGTGACGAAAAGACATCGTTTCTCACACCGATTTCTTCTCACTTTGATGGAACTTTCTAATCTAACAGCACATAACCGACTGTTAATGGGGATCCAATCGACTAGTGCTGCCTCAGCACTAGCGCTTAGTGCGACACCAACGCCAGCAAGACCAGACGAAGATGCCACAGGGTCCCCGGATAAGCGCACGTAAAACAAGCTTTTCGAAGCGACAGATGGAGATCGAATTTGTAGTACTTCGCCAGAGTCTTGAATACGGGTCTCGGATAGACAACACACGTCGATATTAAGACTTTCCAAAGACATAGCCAGCCCTATCTGTTGTCCGACCTGCATAAATGTGCGAACGTTGAAGGCAGCCAGTTTGAATGGTGCACGTGGTTTCAGAAAAACTGCTTCAGTCCTCGTATTCGGTGGTAACGTACAATTTTCAACCGGACAGTGACTCGAGAACATTTAGATAGAGTCGAATTTCCACCAAAGACGAGCCGCTGTATAAGTATAAAAGTGGGTGAATAATGTGGAAAATAATAATAATAATAATAATAATAATAATAATAATAATAATAATAATAATAATAATAATGACAATAATGGTAATAATAATAATAGTATTAATAATGACAATAATAGTGATGGTAATTATTTGAATCGATTGATTGTTTATCGGAGCGAGAAAAGTAGTTGCCATAGACATAGAGTTCATCGTTTGTGTGTGGGCTGTGATACTGCCCGGGTGCCCAAACCGAAGCAGGTGGTTATCTTAGGGGGCCACACCCCGAGCCTTTGACCTAATGGTCTAACCCACAAGGTAGTGGAGCATCGTAAGAAGATGCAATCCCATGGTAGCCGGTGACCAACGATTGGTTCATACGCCATTTGTTCCCGCAGCATACTGGAGCCCATGTGCACCATAGGTTTGTGATCCGGTTAAAGCGCCGGACGTTCGCTTTTCGTCCTCTCATTTTCGTAAACAACACCCCCACCACGAGAAGGCAGTGAGTAGGACTTCCCTGGCAGAGGCTGTATACGCGTGGCAGTGTGAGAGTATTTCGAGAGGGAGAGCGGACTCTCCCCATTCTCGGCCATACCAGGGCGTTCGGGGGCAGAGTTTAAGATATTCGTAAGCTACTGGTACTTGACCACAGATGCCTTAGAAATATTGCTGGCATCTGCTGGGATCACTGGGTAAGTAATAATGAGGTTAAACGTGGGGTATTAGGGAATGATGGTAAATCAGTTGATGAGGTTGTGAATCTTCAACGACTGAGATAGTTGGGCCACGTGTTACGTATGCCTGAACACCGATAATTACGACGCGCAATGCTAACTGGTGTTGGGAATGGTTGGAAGAAAGTTAGGGGCAGTCAAAATGTGGCATCAGTACTTGAAGTCACTAACTTCTGATCTGATCCATGTTAGTAGATGCAGGCTACTTGGTTGGGGTCCACATAACTGTCGTAATCAATGGTTGGACACTCTGGATGTTATGGCTCAGAATCGATCACAATGGCGTAGGTGTATACACCCTCTATCTCCCCTTAAACCGTGAGATTAAAATTGCTTTATATCCTCCTTTCTACAAACTAATTCTTTCTTCCTGTATTATGTCCTTATATGTATTCTTTTATGTATTACTACCATTGAGGTAACTACTTCTATGAACTTAGCGTTCATCTTGTGCTAATGAGGTACGGAAACTTGGACGGATGCACATATATGCCTGGTCCTACGTTGTATCTGACTGATGACTAGAAGGCTAGTAAGCCATAGTTACCAAAAGGTCCGTCATATATCTTAATTGAAGCAGATAAAGTGATATGTGAACGTATATTTGTAAAGTATCTGTTTCTTCCTTATTTCCGTGTCACTTTTAAAGTTCAATCAATGCTTGCTAACAGTTTTAATGAATTTAAACTCGGCTTTATATTTAGTTTTTCACTCAGTTGTTATAATACTCGGAGAGCTTCCTGAAACTGCCCCAATCAAACATCGACCAAATAAGCGAAAAATACTGATGGGCGCACTATATTGCTTGATAACGTTATCTTATTTCCTCATAGATATTTATCTATATTTATAAATGATTTGTACGTGTATTTTCGATTCAGTTAACCACTAAAAGCATCCTGCTCACTGTTGGTTTTCCCACATAAGTACATGGTTTGGGTACGGATATAGAAAGCGTATATATCAGTTTCAGATTAAGATCACGCAACAACAGAAAACAGACAATCAGAAGACGGAGCGAAGGAAGCAAAGCGAAATGACGCACAGTGGAGAAGGCATGTGAACCAGCTCAATTTACCCAAGCGTGAATCAATATTGATTACAGACATATGTTAGAAAAGACACATACATACGCTTACATAGAGAACAGTCAAGGCTGATGACCAAATAATTAACAAGGTCAAAATGTGATTTAAGAAGATTGAATAAAGTGGCTTATCTGGAGGCTAGAATAAGCTATGTGGGCTTGCATAGCACTACATCATAAATTGTACGCAACCAAAAGTTGCTGGAAGTGTCTGGTAAAAATTATGTGGTAATAACGCTTTTAAGATCTCATCTATTATTACAATCCCTAATTAATGTACTCATTGGACTGTAGGGTGTGGTAGTTTAAGGTTATTTCTCCTGGTAATGTCGATCTATCTGTAACAATTAAATGTATATTAACAGTCTCTTGATGGTACCGATTGTCAACCTAAGTAGTACATTGATATGGTATAAATTAATCAAGTACTATTGATGCATTTTGTCGTTTCATCAGTTAGCTCTTTCAAGTAATTTGATGTACTTTGTTGTTAGATTTTTATGTGATATAACGCACTAGTTGATATACTTGACTTTCAACCTGTGGGTCACATATTCGCATTTTAACTCGCTCGGGAACCGACCACTAACCTTCACACAATTAGTTCGGTATTCAAAAGTGAATCCAGATTTATTTTGTGTATTTAAACATATAAACGTATGTACAAGAAGGCACCAAATAGATATGCACCACACAAATCATTCGATATATATGAGCGCTGGAATGCTGTTTAGCCTCCCGATTTACGTTATCAGCTGTAAAGTTGTTTATATTAGCCTCTGTTGACATTTCTCCTAATTGATAGTGCGCTGAGGGTGTCGTTGTAGTGTAAATTTAGTATGCAGTAGATTTTTAGTGGCATTTCGTAGCGTGGCGATTCAAGTCGGTAAATATTTATGTCAAGTTCTTATGTTTATTTTTGTCAATGGTAATCAAATGTGGAATTTTTTCGAAAAGATATCATTTACTCATTAACTCATCATTTTTGTAGGATATTCTCACATCCATTTAAGTTGAGGCTATTTACTATTTTAAAGTTAGCTAATTTTTTCTTAGTGGCGTCCCCCTGGCTTTTGATACTCTTTACATATATTGGGATCACTGTCCCATTTTACTTGTCAGGCGGTTATCAATGTAGGGTTTAGTATTCATGTGGACTGATCCAATTTGTCACATATCACATCAGTCTAACAAAAAGGAAACTGACAAAACAAAAAGTTAAAAATGGGACTTCATTTCAACCTCCAAAGAAATCCGAATATGAGAAATATATATTACAAGGAAGCGGTAAGATGTAAGTATGTGCAAAATTATAAATAACACTTGATTTAAAATGTCGAATGAGATAGGGAATGAATGTAACTATGCTACTGCTACGAATTTTGCACTCCCACAGTTTATTAGGGTTCATCTTCAGATAATGTGAACTTTTTTAAAATTCAATATTCCCTGTCTCCTTTTACAGTATTATAAAGCGATGAGGAAATTGTCTGTTTGACGTAAATTCTTATATGGTCGGATCGTACACTAATGGGAACTAGGTTTTTTTTCGTTTTATATAAGTGTTTTTGTTCTGGTTTATGTGTTACACGTTACATTATTATGCTAATCAGTAATTTTGGCTACATAAAGAAATGATTTTAATGTTCCTATTTTTAGTGTGTAGTTATGAAGAGGTTTAGTAGATTGACTGTTTTTCTTGCTGTTTGATATTGGTCAAATGGTTAACCTGTTTATATTCTGTCATTTGTTGTAACTAATTTTTTCATGTTCAAAGATAAAATCATAATAACTAGAAGTCGGTTCTATTCATTTGCTACTTTCATTTAAGTACTTTCTGTTTTTAAAGAAATATAAATCGATGAATACTGTACAGTAAAAAGCTCATACATTTATATAATAGTTATTTAATTTGTTGTTCAACATTTCTTAATTGATGTTAACCTGAAAAAGCATGATTTAGATTCATTTGTTGTTGGTGATGAATAATTTGTAAAATAAATTGCTTTTAATGGGAGAATTTATTCTTTTATAGTCTCAGGGAATGCTAATTCCTCACTTCTTAGGTAAATTATTTACATGATTTATAACTACTTATTACTTTCTCGTTAAGTTTTTAGATTAGAAGAAAGGGAACAAGATCTTAGATCAGAATTATCTGCACAAAATGAAAGATACACTAAATTACTTAAAATTTATGTGGATTATATAGAAACAAACAATTTATCTGTGTCAAACAACGATATTGAATCGGGAACTGTATGCGTTGGCTGTGAAAAAGATACTGAATCAAATGAGCTAGTAATGAAATCGACTGCTGTATGTATTTTTAGTATACACTTTTATATTTCATGCTGTGAATTCTCTTTGCTTTAAACATGTATATAAATGATGTTTCGTGCCTTAGTTATTGTCCACTGCTCAATTAATATGCGAAATGTCATCCAATTTATAAAACTGGTTCACTGCGTATTATATACAACGAAAGAAATATAATGTGGAATCTCAGTTTGTTATAATACTCAAGTTCTACTACTATATAATGAAGTGTTTTTTGACCACTATATGCACATTTTTATTGAATCTAGAACACTTGTATCCTCCTATTTGTGACTCATCAGTTGAATGTACCTGCTTTCTAGTTTTTATGTTCATATTAAATCCCGAACTCAAGATCTTTGTCTTCAAACGCCAACATGTTATCCAGTTCATCTACTTCCAGCTTACAAGTCTCGACCAAGAAAACACATGCATCCCGAATTTCTCTACTAGCAATTATTCATCTTTACTAAAAACTTGTGACTAAATGGTAATATCGTGGTAATCCCTTTAGGATGTACACATGCTAAAAAAAGATTTATCACTTGTAGCTATTTACATCGAGAACGAGGAAGTACAACATTTTGTTTAATGAATTTTTAATAACAGATAGTTTTTGGTTCACTATTTGTTCTTTGTCATTACACTAAATAGTCGGCTAATTTGTTACAATCTTATAATTAGGTATAAAGTTGGGATGATTTACATATTTTATTGATTACGCGATATGTGAAACCTTTTGAAAACTAACTGTAGCATTAATCTGTGTAATATTTAATTGGATATCGATAGATATAAACAATGTTAGGACCTATCAGTAAAGTGTATACTTTTATTCTTAAGAAGATTCATCTATAGGGCTGTAATATTTGTTTCATCCTAAAATACATTTCAAAAAGTCTCATTTCCCGTTTTATATTCATAGAATTCAAACTCCACAAATGAAAATCCCAATCAAATTTCAGTAGAATCGGGTTACATTTTAAACACGAATTCTAAAAATCATGATATTTCAACCATTGGAATTGATTTAACACGTAAGTAAATAGAAAGTTATCAACTTGAAATAGTTTTGTCTTATCCTACTTTGCAAGTTGTTTTAAATTATAATTCATTTATGCTTTGATTTTTTCAGTGATTGCTGCGGCAAAGTTAATTTTTATCAGATTAATTAATTACTTTATCGGCTAGATAATATCCTATTGGTTTTTAAACAAAATATATGTGCTACTTAGCTTTCATAACTGGTTTTATAACTTATTAGTGATTTCATCAAATAGTAGTTTTTGTTCAGATATTGGTAAACACACATTGTCAATGCGCATATGTTTCTTATGTTGAAAATGTATGTATTGTTACATTCATTATTGCCTTTCAAATGATTTATGTGGAAAATTTACCAGGATGAATACGATACTTATAGTTTCGATGTTTTTAGTACTTTTATTGCATTATTACATCCTCTAATTTTCATCTGTCGGGTGGGTAGCCCTTATAATCCGTACTAATCAGCATAACTGGTTGGTAACTTGTTATTTTTAATCATAAATTACCTAAAAGTTCAGAGAACAAACGTTTTTTTAGCTTTGTTGACTTTTAAACAAAACAAATCTTTTGGAACTTAGTATGTATCACTGGAGAAATTTCTTTGTAGCTATCAAATCCTGCGTGCGGGATCGTGTATGCTAACTGCTGAGGAGTCCCACACTAGAACGAAACGGCCGTCCAATGCTCCCGGGTTTTCAATTGTGGTCTAACATTGGTCGATTCATAATCTCAAATAGAAATTTGTTATTGCTGTTGATTCATGGCGTTTTAACCACAGATCTAACTTCATTTCATTTTTATATGAATAAATAGTTATTATTGTGCGATATCATTTAAAAGGGATAACTAGGTTATGTCTTTGATTAATAATATAAGTTCAAGTGTAAAGTGGACGATATCAAATTAATCTATACAATTAGAAATTCACTTACATAGTGTAGTTTATTTTAAGGGTTAATCAGCTTTATTCGCTTATGTATTCTTATTTTATTCAGATCCTCTAGAATCTGAACCTGGTGTGAACGCTTTGCACTCTCTTGATAGTTCTCTAAAGTCAAATAATGGTACCACTTCTTTTATTGACATTTATGATGATATGTAAGTGTTTTACTGCAGAGTTGTTCATTGATTGTAACTTTTCTTTCTATAGATTTACTTAAAACACGATTACGTGCCGATGAAGTTCAGCCACTAGAAATGTACTACATTTGTGAGAATAGTTGTTGTATATTACGTGGTTTATCGGCTTCAATGATTAGTAAGAACTAGAGTATTTATCTACAAAGCACATGTTTATATAACCAGCTTTAAGCTGCACTGCTTTTGCGAAGGTCAGTAATACAAATCAGCTATCTGAACAGAAGTAGGTGGAATGGAGTTTGATATTACGAGCTACTGGTTGGAAGCTGACTGATTTAACCACTAAATCACCGCTTTTTTAAAAATACGGTATTGATTGTTATTGCATAACTAATTCATTTATACATAGTCGCAGAAGTTGGGCATTTCTGGATTGATTAGTCTATCGGAAACATTTCTGACTGTTTTTTGGGAACTTGAGTCTCTGTTAGATTGGAGATTTATGCTACCCGTCGTTTATAAACATTCACTTAACCTGGTTTTAGAGGGATTCTTATTGATCACTGCCGAAAATCATATATTTTAGCGTCGAATAGGTCCCAACGACTTTTCATTTTGCGAACTTATGCTTTTATTTTTAGTAAATAGACATCATTTGAAAGAATCTGAATCGTTCAACTATTACAGACTTTTGGCGTACAAAAGCAAGAGTAAATCACTTAACGTCTGTTAGCACATAGTAACTTGGACCCAATAAATTAAGACAAAACTGTTCTAACTTAAATATTTGTTTAGAATAAATATTTGATTATAATCACTCAAATTAACATATCCTTTTTTCTATTGTAGCGTAGATTATGAAACGGCTTTAGAATCAACTCCTGCTATGGGTACTGGTGATGATGTTGAAGAAATTGGTATGTTGTATTTCTATTATTACTACCAGTTTTTTTTTTTAGTGTCTTATCATATCCAGTTCTGTAGGTTTAATCAATACTAACTGTCTAATCAGTTGATTGTCAAACTTTTTAATCGATGTGTAAACGCTATTTTCTCTTAATTATGTTGATATATGCATTTCTGGTTTAATAGAAAGTTTAAATTACAGGGAATTATATTTTAATAAATATTTTTCTTCTATAGGTATCATTACCAAGGTTTGACTTAATAATTTCGAATAAGTTGAGAATTGGATAGATTGTTATAAATAAAATAATATATTTGTAATATCCCAATGAGTAGAGAAATTAGATTTTCCAATGTTTCGTGACTCAGGGTAAGCCACTTCAGAGGATAAATAACCAAGTTTAAACTTGGATTAATTTTGATTTTGTTATTCTCTGGAGAAGTGGCTTACACTGAGTCACGGAAAATCTAATTTTTCTACCCATTAGAATATTACAAGTATATTAATTAATTTATTTTTCTTCTATTTTTGTCTTTATTTATGAAAAAAAGTTGTATGTAAAATGTACTTTGTGTCTCATTTATGTATTGTCTTAGCGTTTAACTACTATATTGAACGTTTAAAACAAATGGACTAGTAACAATGACGTATTGGACTATTTGGAAATGAGAACATTATCCACTTGACACAGGTGATTGTTCAAGCACCTCTTGAGTAAAAGTAGACGTAATTGGTTTAAAAATTTATTATCTGAGCAAAATGAAGAATCTAGTGATAAGTTACAACAAAATAATGTTTTATTGTAGTTTCCAATTTCTAGCCAACAAAATTTAGATTTCAAAGAATGTTTAAATCAAAATTCGAATCCCTAAGTAATACAGATCATTATATACGTATATCTTACAACATACTATTCAATACTAGAATTTACAAACAATCAGGAGATTGATCAAGGCTGAGTATACGAACTTGTGTATTTATCGAATTTCACTTAAAAAAATATATGTAAATAGTTTTTTGTTATTCAATTATTCAAGATAAATATTTTCAATCAATAACAGTATCCATATTGTATGTTGATTTCCTCCGGTTTCAGAATCTCCTGATGTTTGTGAACCCTCTGTAGGTGGGTAAATATTGACGTTATTTATTACCACGCACCTGTGTCTGTTAATCACCAATATTATCGGTGCACTCATAATCTAAGCTTAACATTCACATTATACATATTTTTAACTAGTTCAGTTGTTATTGAAACTTAAAATATTCCGTTTCCATTTACGTAACTACACATTATTCAGTGGTTTATCTGTCACTCATTGTTTGGTAACTAATTATTTTCTCAATTAACTCGTGTTTTAGAAAAAAACGCTACTTTTTTATGTTTTGGTTGTAAAAAAATACAACTAATTCACAAGTTTTTGCATCAATCGTTTTTTGTTTAGTTTACCTTTTCAACATATTGTTACACAAAGATGTTTGTGTGTAATTCGATTTCTAGTTAATATTAAAAATGAATGAATATGTATTAGGAAACTGACACATTGAATTTAGTATACAATACTAGTTTGAAGATCAATACTCTTAACTTCTGTTCCTTTGGTTGGTTTCTTCCAAGTGTGATAGGTGATCATTTGTTTACAATAGACTTATCTTTCTAGTTCGTTTCCAAAGTGAAAAGAGGTCTACTGAAGGTAAAGTGCTTTCTTTACATCCCTAAAGCTAGTCATACATATATCACATTATAACACCATATCAGGCCCACATAACTTATTCTAGCATCTGGACAGGCCAATTTATTCATTCTTCTTGAGTCATGTTTTGATCTTGTTAATTATTTGCTTATCAACCTTGACTGTTTTTATATGATCGTATGTGTGTCCATTTCTTATCTTATCACATTTCTTGTAACTTATTTTTGTGTGACTAGAAATATTGAGTAACGGTTAGTTAAATTGAGCTGGCTAACATGCCTTTTCCTATCTGTTTCACTTCTCTTTCTTCTCTTCGCTTCCTTCGTTCCATCTCTCTGATTGTCTGTTCTGATCAACCACTGTAAAAAATATTTATATTCAAAACTTCATTCCCATATTTGACCTATTTTTAATTCCATTATTCACTAACGCGAGTCAAGTCGATAATTATATACGAGGATTGGCGACACGTATGTTTCAATGGTAATCAACATACGATCAAATTGAAGTCAAATAATGGGTCACAAAACCACAGATATAGAGCAGCAAATCGTCAATATGGTTATTTTGTACCTAGTTTCTGTTTTTCCGATTTTCTTTTTCATGTAAAGATATATTTTAAGAGCATTCCACCATCTGAGTCCAGGCTTGAGACCCAGAGGGAGGACGCCAGGTGGCACATCGGCGATGACTGTGTCGAAAGTTAGTGCTAGCCAGAAACAGGTTGTGGTCTGTGCGCAGTTGCAGTAGACGGTCCCAGTTATCTGACCTGCGACTAACAAGTCCCCATCGGCCACCTGAACGACTCTCTTCTGTGCCTAGACGCCCGACCTGAGCATTCAAGTCTCCGGCTAGTACTACAATATCTGTCGAACGCACTTTCTGGAGAAGAACAGATAACTGGTGGTAAAACTCATCCTTGATTGCATCCGGGCTGCAATCTGTCGGAGCATAGGTGGAGATGACGAAAAGACATCGTTTCTCACACCGATTTCTTCTCACTTTGATGGAACTCTCTAATCTAACAGCACATAACCGACTGTTAATGGGAGTCCAATCAATTAGTGCTGCCTCAGCACTAGCGCTTAGTGCGACACCAACGCCAGCAAGACCAGACAAAGATGCCACAGGGTCCCCGGACAAGCGCACGTGAAACACGCTTTTCGAAGCGACAGATGGAGATCGAATTTGTAGTACTTCACCAGAGTCTTGAATACGGGTCTCGGATAGACAACAAACGTCGATATTAAGACTTTCCAAAGACATAGCCAGCTCTGTCTGTTGTTCGGCCTGCATAAATGTGCGAACGTTGAAGGCAGCCAGTTTGAATGGTGCACGTGGTTTCAGAAAAACTGCTTCAGTCCTCGTATTCGGTGGTAACATACAATTTTCAACTGGACAGTGACTCGAGAACGTTTAGATAGAGTCGAATTTCCACCATAGACGAGCTGCTGTATAAGTCGAGAAAATAAGTATAAACAGAGTGGGAAGAAAGGAGCCCTATGTACAAACACCTCAGGCAGAGTGAGGTGTTCCATTCGAGCAGTGGGGTTAGGCAGGGTTGCCCAATCTCACCATTCCTCTTCAACTTTGCCATCGACGACATTCTGGAAACAGCTCTGATGGATGTAAGTAATGACGGTGTGGATCTGTTGCCTGGAGAAAGACTTCTAGACTTTGAGTATGCGGATGATATTGTCTTACTGTGTGATAATGCCCAAGGCATGCAATCCGCACTTAATCAGTTGTCAATCAGTGTCCATATGTATGGTATGTGCTTTGCACCTTCGAAGTGCAAAGTACTTCCACAGAACTGGCAGGATCCTAATCCTGTACTCACCCTGAATGGTGAGCAGTTAGAAGTAGTCGAGAAGTTCGTGTGTCTGGGTAGCTGCATAAGTGCTGGTGGAGGTGTGAGTGATGAGATCAATGCACGTATAGTGAAAGCCAGAGTGGCTTACGCCAATCTGGGCCATCTTTGGCGCCTTCGTGATGTTAGTCTGGCTGTAAAAGGTCGGATCTACAACGAGTCAGTGAGAGCAGTTTTTCTCTATGCTTGTGAAACCTGGCCTCTTCGAGTTGAGAACGTTAGATGACTCTCTGTGTTCGATCATCGCTGTCTCCGAAGGATTGCTGATATTCAGTGGCAACACCATGTTAGTAATGCAGAGGTTGGGCATCGTGTGTTCGAGCACAAAGACGATAATGCAATTGGTGTCACCATCTTGAAACACCAACTTTGGTGGTATGGACATGTTTTACGAATGTCGTCCCATAGAATTCCACGTCGTGCATTATTTGTCGATGCTGGAAGTGGTTGGAAAAAGCGGAGAGGTGGTCAGTGTATGACATGGTGTCGTGGCATGAACGAAAGCTGCAAAAGACTGGCTTGTGTTGGTCGTTCACGACTCCGTGGCTGGGGTCCGGGAGATGGTGCTACACAGTGGCTAGAGACGTTATCAGATATGGTTCAGAATAGAAGCCAGTGGCGATCCTGCTGTAACGTTCTTTTACTTTCTTCATAAAAAGTGGTTGTGTCTCCCTTGCTTGAAAGATTTCTTTTGATTGTACCTTCCCGTTCCCTCATTATTACTATTATTATTATTACACTACCTTACACCAGTCTCTTCGTTATCGTTCTCTTTTTTTTTACGCTCCCTACCTTTTTTCTTTTTCCTTCTCTTCAAATTCTCGTTGTTTTGTGTGGCGCATATATATTTGGCGCACTCTTGTTCCAATATTTATGTGTTCAAATAAATAAATATTTTAAGAAATCATAAATGCTATTTATTGAGTAGAGGTTTTGTATATTTAACTCTAAGGTACACTTTGTGTCCGGACTAATGATATCACCTGGATACTGAAACCGAAGTAGGTGAAATATAACTTGTAACTTCAACTTACTAGTTAAAAGCTGAGTTGTTTATTGACAAGATCACCGTCCCCATGGTTTATCTATTCATATATTGTTAGTGTATGTTGTAGGTCAAACTAAGACTATTCAATTTTTATGGTGATAATGTCACTGGTTATGCCTACAGTATTTTTAAAGCTAGCAATTTGGGGAAGGATTATGTTTATTATCGTATTCTCACACTAAAACACAAATTTTTGTTTAGATTTCTTTGGAATCTGGTTACATGGCCCTTATTTTCGAAACTTTCTTATTCAGAAAAGCTTTTAATTTTCCAAATCATTTTTTTTCCAAAACAGAATCTCTTATAAAAACTCGCAGGTAGGATTTATAAATTTTTACTGAATAAAGCACTGTTGAAGGTAATATGCAGAACGAGATTGCAGCGTCTATCTATGAGGTAAATCGATTCCAGCAAGTTCGGTCCTACTACAACTACAACAATGTACCCACCATTAACCCACAACTTGAGCAGTTAGAACTAACTATTTTCATACGTAAAAAAAATACAAAGTTTTCAGTTGTATAATTAACTTTGTTCATGGATATCGGAACAATACCATCAGGTTTCACACTAAAAGTGTAATCTGCTTTCTAGTGTTGTGTTTATTTCCTTATTCATTTCTTATTATGATTGGTTTCCTTTATGTTCCTTCTTATTGTTAATATCACTTTTGAAAATGTACTTTTTATTTTGTTAGTTTCACTTTGATTTATTGTTTGTGAAGTGTATTATCTTGAGGTAATACGCACTTGTATTAAATTCATTGTTGATTGATTACTCAACTTCTTCATGTTGTCATATATTTACTGATAACCACAATTTATTTCATCTGCTAAGTAATTTAGTTAAATTTAAAGGTAATTTTAATCACAATTTAACATCACTTGGAGAACTATTAAAAATCAGAAAGCACTAACCAACTGTTTCATGGTTGTTTAAAATTCCTCAATAGTATTTCTGTAAATACTCTTACATATGGCCGAGTCCTGAATGAACACAATGCTCTAAGTCAATACAAAGTTGATAATATTCTTCATACATTATTAGTAATTTTCAGGGTGAACTTTTGCACTTACATTTATATATTTATTCTTTACATAATCAGCTTTTTGTTTTTGTTTTTCGTATCTTTGGTTTTTTTGAAGTTTTGTGTGATTGATTTGTTCGAGCTTCCATTTTTGTCGCAAGTAGCTTGATTATCACAAACTAAAAGTGGTGTTTGAAAAGAATCTCTTTGATAAGTTACAATGTGTTATTCTCTTTCTCTGGTAAATAAGATTAATTTGTCTTATTTGGTATCCATACTGTCACTATATGAGTATATATTCATCGGGATGGCTTAATTCACTGGTACGATTACTATAATAGTTAAGAAGGATGAGCTAATAATTTGCTCGTGGAAATAACCCTCCATTCAAAATTAAGTTGAGACAATTTGTCAAAGTAATGGTTAAATGAGGAAAACGTCGTAGAGCATTTAACTTCTTTTCATATACACCAATGGTAATTGTATTTAGACAAGCTGATTGGAGTTTTTTCATTACCCTTATAGTAGGTAAAACGAATCATTTACAATCAACCGATTACTGAACAATGACCTATGTCATGTTTGTCTATTCTTTGGTCCTGATCGAATTCCATTGACCAATTTGCAATGTGATCACTGATCTAGGTAATTTGACGTCACACACACTATGTTTTGGTGTGAAGTGGAGGTAGTCAACAGGAGACCTTGGACCTCGTATCCGTTGGCACTCGCTAGCTACAGCATTACTTTGATCGCTTTTTTATTTCCATTTCTTCGTGCTAATCAGGTATGGGAACTTCGGCCAACGCATATCTATTCCAGGCCTTATGTCTATGATGTTTGTCTTCACCCATTAAGAAGGTGCACCTATGGGATTCTGATTGGAGTCATTCAGTTTCACAATCTGGGACGTATTCTGGTCGCAATCCAATAGGAGGTCAGTTAAGACCTGATTATCTTAACAGTAACGTTTTAGACTATGAAGCTGGTTGGTGCAGGTTCTAATCCCACAAGTAGCATCGGGTCTCTCAAGATTCCAGGTACGTCTTGTTGATGAATTTCAACTGGCAGGGAACCTAGGTTTAGGGTTTCCTACCGACTACTTCTCGACGACTGAACCAAATAATTGTCTATAAATGCGTTGTTTACAAATTCACCTAAAGTTTAGGGATAAAGAAATATTCAGACATTTTTAGTTATGTCAATTTTTTGTTTCTAGATTTTTCAATCATGTTGAATAATCATATAAGTAACTATGTGTGTTACTGTTGTTTACTCACTAGTCTATACATTTTATTGGTGTAATTGGCCAAAATAATGACTAAGCTGTTTCCTAATTTTTCTGTTACATTCCTATTTTATTTAGCTCACATCCCTTTGGGAATTGTATTCTTACTGGGTTTTCTTATTTATTTGGTTGCCGGAATTTTGTTAGCCTTATTGATTTTGAAAAGTTCAATTTTTTGAAGTTTTACTTCTTTCTTTTGTTTTCCTCTAAAAAAATATTAAGGTATGATCAAAGAAGTCGAAAAATTAATTAAAGAGAATACTGATTTGTATGAAACAAAGTAAGTTAGTTGTCATTGAATTTGATTATTGTTTTTTGTGTTTAGTATAAACTTATATGAAATAAAATTTAGTGACCAATAATATTGTATCTATCGAAATAACTAACTTCTGTTTACTTTGTCATTCAGTAATCTATAAGGTAACATAAAATGTACAAGTTCGTTTTTATCAATACAAAATTATGACTTGATTATTTTGATTACATTAAGCATTGGATGGTAGTTTAGTTATAACACAAACAATACATTCTTAAGTCGTCTTAATAAGTAGGAAAATGAGTTTTTGATGTTTTGTGAAAAGTCATGGCAGTTGTTTTATTTAAGAGATGTCAACAATTCATTATCGATACCTCTCAGTACAATACAAGTAGTTCGTTTAATCAGTTCAATAATAATATGTGTCTATTCAGTTGTCAAGTTTTTTCTTTTGTAAAATCAGACGCTTATGTAGGGAAAAAATTATTATGGGAATAAGAGAGGTCTCATGGTAGATCTATCTTTCGTACTATGTACTTAATTTTAAATCATACTATTTAGTTAACTGATTTTCTTTTAGGCCTATAGTCGCTTATTAGTTAAAACGTTCCTAGTTTTATTTAACTAGATTATAAGTTCCAACCCCTCATCGTCTACTTTTCTTTAAGAAACCTGGCAGTATCACTAGGCCTTACACATTGACTTGATAGATGAGTTAAATTAAATCTAGTTTGTTTAAAATATCTTGTGTATTGTAAAGAGTACGTGTATGTTGATTAGCAAGTAAAGAAATCTCTTGTTTTTTCCATTGAATTTATTTTGTTGTATTTCATCGTCTTACTTTGTTTTATCTTCATATTGCCTGTGTGGTTTCTTAAGAGAATTTCAATTTTTAATCCATTCAGCATTTCATCTCTTGAAAGTTCTGTCCTATTCAAACAGTCTCAGGTCTCTGAATGGCCGACGTTTTAAATAATGCCATCAAATACAAAATATGGTGCAGTTTTTCCGTAGCCAAGTGTACGATTTATACTTTCCCCCTTCCGTCTTTACTTTGATACCTGCTGAACAACATAAGTTTAGTTGTGTCTTTGGAAATTCTTGATATTCGTATACGCTGTGTATCTGAGACCCTATCGAAGATTCAAGTAAAACATTGCATATTCCCTCTAAACTGGCTGGTTTAGGAAGTTTGCTCCACGGATCTCAAGCCAAGGATCATGTGCCATTGGTGTTTACTTTTTTGGCATTTGTGTTACACAGTGTGCCAAAGCATAGGTAATATTAATTTATTGCGTTTTCATTAACAGTCGTTTATGCACTGTTAGGTTAAAATATCCGTTCAAAGTGAGGAAAAGTTATGAGAAATGATGTGTCCTCGTAATTTTCACCTGCAGCTCCATAGATTGTAGCCCGAATTCAATAAAAAACGCGTTCTGTTGTCGGACAAATGGGCCTTCAGCAAATATTGTGGTGCTATATGATGTCTAGGAACAGAGGATAGTCTTTTGGGTGGTCAATAGGGACTTAGCGATCACGAGTAAGATAACGTTGAACATCTTTTGCACCTTTGTGATCGCAAACTGTTTCTAGCTAGTATTAACTCCCGACACAGTCATCTATTTGAAATCTGCTCTTTGCATTTCAAGCCTAAAATTCAGTCAGTCACAATTGGTTTATCCAGTAATATTGTGGCTGTGTCTAAGACTATCGTTCGTTTTGAAGTACCTATGTGAATTTTAATCATGCCCCGGTATCCTCTAAACTTTATCTCTTGCTTGTGAGACAATTCATCGTCTCAAACAGATTAATATAGCCAGATTAGATACAACCGTTTCAGGCAAATATCAAATTGAACTAGGCTGCCAAGACAAACTGACTAAAACGTTTAAGTGACCACTGACTGCATTTGCATGACTTAATAAAAATACGAGCAAAGTCTTTTGTGGCTTTACAGGCGTCCGGTTTTTCCAGGCTACCTACTTATTTACACTACATGATCTCCAGCAAATCACAAGTTCAACTATATACGTACCTCATCGTTGTGGAAAATTTCACAAACCTCGCGTAAGAGTAGAAACATTTGATCGCAGTGTGGTAACGACTTGAAAGCAGCGACTGCATGGTGTTTGCAATTAACGGAAGTTCTTTCAACTCCTTCGAGTTACTTGCAGAAAGACGTTTAATATCGGTAAAATAGTTTGGGAAGTTGATGGCATTCCATCTGGTAATTTTCAAGTGAGTGTCAAACGTTGGACGGAGCATTTCCCCAGACTGATGATCTGGTTTATTGCCTGAATAACTACGTGCTCCTTGAAAATTGACTATCGATCCATCTAACGAAGCAGCGTTTCGTGAGCAATTCCAACCTCGGAGACATCACGAGTCGTTATGCTCAGATGACCTATTTCCACCATTATTTTCAAGAATGTGAGCGAACTTCTAGTCAGAAAATGGACTGGTTTGCTGGAAATGAAGCATTCGTTGTTTTCGCCTTGAATAAGGGATTATATGATGCATACAACAATTATCGAGGCATATGTCTGCTTTCTGTTTTTTTTCTAAGTTATTATTCTTCGTTATACTCTGGGGGTTGTAAAGAACTCGTTAAAAAATAACTCCTGAGGACTAGGCCTATTTTTGTTCATGTTGTGAATGTATATGTCTTCGGTTCATTCTCCGCTAAGCTTATTTCAGGCTATCAATCCTTGTATTACTTCAGGACTGCCTTGTATACTGTAAACAGGACTATGCTCTGGATTAACCTGGTGAGAAACGGTGTAACAGAGATTTCTATCAATTCTTTGCAGAATCTGTACGCAATCGCTTCAGGATAAGGGATAGGATCACCTCTCTTTATTGTTTCAACCCAACAATGTGGTTTCTTAGGGTTGACTTATCTCACCATTCCTCTCTAACTTTGCTATCGGTAACTCTAAAGGAAGTATCTTATGGTGTGAACCTGTTAGCTGGAGGATTTTTCAATGTTAAGTATGCATATGATATTGTTTTACTATCCAGTGATACTGAAGCTATCCAGACTTTTTAGTCGTGAGCAGTGATATTATGCTTGAAAGTTTTGAAAAAAAGGTTTGGTTGGTCCGTGAAATCGTGGTCGATGATGTGCTGTAAACATTTTAGGAGAGAGCATGTGAGTTTTTTCAGCGTCTGGTTACAGTATTGATAACTCATTTGTTGGCACCGTCTTTAAAACCGACTTCATTGGTTTGGACACGTTCTACCGATGTCATTCCAAAGACTTATATTGCGTATTACTTGGGTACTGCGAGAGAGATGGTTAGTTTATTACATAGTATCATAATAAGAAATGAAGCTGTTTGTAATTGGCACCCGTCTATCAGTCATGACTCAGTTGAATTTGTAAAGATGATTCAACTCAGTGGATTGAGATATTATCAGATATGGTTCAGAATCAAAGCCAGTGGTAATCCTTCTTCAATTTTCTGTCTAATCCTTCATTAAAGTGAAATGAACTTCCTTAACTGTGGAGAATATTTATTAGTTGTATTTTTAACTGGATTGTTTTGAGCAAATACCATCCTTTTTTAGTCATACATATTGCAACTCTCTTTTTTGCTTCACAGTTTATTTGTGTGGTGCATCTTTTTGGTACCCTAATAAACCACGATATTTATATGCCTTAAATAAAATAACTTATCTTTCTGTCTATGTGGGTGTATATGTATGTGACCTTACTATAATTAGTGTCAACTTTTCAAGGATAAAACAAGATGGTCAAATTTGTTTTGATCGTCGTTCTTTCTTTAGTCATTTTTAAAACCGTTAGTTTATTCAACCTTCGTTCTTCTGAATAATCTATTTGCTTTCTAAGTTATTCGAACTACATCAATTTAGTTTATACCTGTTCGTTAATTAAAAATAATACTCTATGACTTAGTTTTATTACGTGATTAATTGTTTATTTACTTATGTATCTTCTCGTTATTTCTAACATAGTATTTCTCTTTATTTCAGAAATGCTTTAAATGTTTTAAAAGATGATCTAATTAAAAAACTAGATGAAGTGACTGGGTAAGTGAATAGGCGTTGTATAAATTATGTGTTCTGTGAATTTTATGTAGTAGTAATAGTGTTGTAGGGATGTAAGGTGACCAGTTAAGGCTTTGTTTCGAACTAAATTTATTGGTTTCTCTCCTGATAAAATCCACTTGCTACTAAGTTGTTCAACTTTTTATTTTTTTATTTTCAGTAATCGGAGGGAGTTAGATTTCTATGAGATTACAAAAATATTGTTAAGTTATTAGTTGAAAACACTTTTTTCCTAGTCAGATATCAGAAATACTGGTAATTTCTTCTTATTTTGTAGATATTTAGAAGGTTGGTGGGATAAATAAAGTATCTCAGCCAGTCAGTCATAAACGACATAGAACTTGGCTCTTGTTAGCAACGGTCCAAGTTGTGTTACACCGCATTACCATAGGAATTATCAAAACAAATGCCAGAGTAGTAAAGATAGTAACAGTATTATGAGTAGTAGGAACAAAGATAAATTTAAGCAATGTAATTTGAGAATGAGTAATGAATTTATGGAATAAAAACATAATTTCAAAACTGTGAATCTAAATGAAAACAAAGAGTTAGTGCATCTACGCCGTTGCGATTGATTCTGAGCCATACCACGATAATCCCATACACATCAACCAAGTAGTCTGGACCCACCAGCATGGCTAACTCTAACAGTCAATGACTACATGAACTAATGCCACGTCTTCATTTTGGCCATCCTTGGCTTTCTTCCAACTTATTTTAACACCAGTCAACATCAAGCGTCGAGATAGGCAATGGTGTAGTGTATTTCCCGATCACACTGGTGGCTGAAGATTTACAATCTTATCAACTGATCGACCATCTTTCCATACTACCATGTGTTCTACCTCAACATTGCTCACTTGGCGGTTTTCATCATATTCTAGCAATGTCCCAAAGACACCTGTCATCAAATACTGCTAACCCTCAAGTGTAATTTACTTTTAAATATGACGTTTTACAGCTATAAAGTAAAACAGTGAACTGTTGCATAAGATACTCGTTCTTTGCTTGGCAGATGGACATCTCACCTACTCCATAAGTGACGTAACTCGTTAAAGTCAGGCAAGACTTGTGAACTTGTGTAGAGATTTCTTCAGATAACAACACAACAGATTTAATGAGAATTCCAAGTGAAGCAATTGGCACGCCCAACTACATCACTCCCTGTGATAAATCTTGGCGATTTTGTGAACCAGTCATGAAGCAACCTCTTCTATTTTTTAGGTGTTTTAATTATTGCTCAGGGCGTTCATAAGACAGCATGTTTTCAGCGCCTTCAAGGAGCAGGGCTATGTAATCTCCGTATTCTAAGTTGATAGTTGAATAACCTGAAGTGAAATCAGTTCCTAAATTTAAACGAATAAAGCGTTATTTTATTAAGTATCCGTGACAAAGTTAAATAAATATGGGGAAATTGGGCAACCTGGCCATAAGTTGCCTGCGTGTAGAGTCTTCACAATTATCTTGTGCTCGTTTCGGTGACAGATTCTACCGTAATTCCTGTCGATTATTGGAATGAAGTGGTTCCCTAGGTTCAAGATCTGTTCATGTTTCTCTATCTGATTAGGAGCGAATATTTGGTCGATACTTCCACATTAAGGCTGAAAACCAGCTTGATTTTCTGAAGTTTGTTGTCCACTAACTTTAGTCAAGCGTTAGAAGAGTGTCAAACTGATTTCTCTGTTGCAACTAGAGGCTAATCCACCAGGTTTCTCTGCTCTCCCTCACTTTAGATTACATGTAGCCTTTTTAACTTCACTGAGGGTTAGCATGTTTATGGTTGTAACCCATCCAGCTTGTTTGGTGACAGTAGACAACTGATGGATAGTTGAAGGCGAGTAAACCATTCCTCTAAGTGTTACATTCATCATTTCAACTGTGTGGGCTGAAAGCGGGTTATGGTCTTATCTTTTTTCAGATATGGTCTTACGACCACCAGGTATGTGAATACGTTTTTCTTTGATAAGTCGGAAAAGTTATCTGTTATTACTTATAACTACCACTCTTTCTATATCTTGCTTTCGTCGCCTATCACTGTTCATAGTCATTGCATAGACGTTTTTCAGTCTACGATTAAGTTGCCTTTACTAATATCCGAACTTTCAATTCGACTGTTTCATCTTTGTTTCCACTGGTTAATAGTGATTAAGATAACTCATGCAATATGTCTGAGATGTTCATGCTTATAAACATTTATTCGGTATTTTTTTATTGATATCCCGAGCTAAAATTATCTATTTCTTTTTTGTTTATTAAAATTAGTGAGAAATCTATGTTAATTCAAGAAATACATGCTATACGTACCAATAGAGATGAAATTAAATCTGAAGCTAGTCGTTTATCACGTTTAGTTTATGAATGTCGTGATCAAATATCTAGCTTAACTGCTCGTCTTAAAATTTATGAAGACGTCAACGAGGCCGATCAACGTTCATCTAGATTACTTCTTACTTCAATACAACAGTCGAAATCCTGTTGGACATTAAATGCGGAAAGCACATGTCACACATCACCAAAGTATCGTAATAAATCTGTAGATAATTTGAACGATGTTTCACCATTGAATGATATGAATAAAACTGAAGATGGATACGATTTACAGAGTACCTTTAATAAAGTATGTTCTTATTTATTAAGAATTCTTATCATCCTAGAATCACATTTATTTGATTGTTGCTAATATGACTGCAGAAATTCATTATTGCGTTGCAGTTTGCGCCTAATATTGACTTGAATGTCACAGTTCAAAAGCTTTTTAAAAAATATTTTGGATATATATATATTGTCAACATATTACCATACACCTTTAGGAGCTGAAAAGTAAGCATTAAATGAATATCAGTGCTTGTTGTTACAACAATGCAGATTATCTGTCGTTAGTATTATTTTGTCCTTTAGAGCTAAACGTTTAAACTCCTTGCTCCAAAGCATTAGTAATTATAGCTATTGACGACTTCAATATTCAACAACCAAATAACTTTAAATTTTCAATATAATCTGAAAGTTAGTTGTTATGGTTAGTGTTTCTTAGAATTTATTTAAAGTGTTTTTATTCTTGTTTTTGTATACTTTTGATATCTTTTCATGGGCAAACAATTAGGTACCGAAATTCGGTGAAGCTTTCTTCACTAAACGAGAAATGGCTCGTGTTATCGCAGAACGTAACAGTTATAAAGAGAAATTCTTGGAACTACAAGATGCAATGCGCTTAATGGAGAGATTACGAGTAGATCATAACTCTCGTTTACAATTTTCTACAGGTGATGGTTTTGAGCGTTGGGTACCAAGGTCATTCTTTTCAACCGTCCAATCGGGTTTAACTGGATTATTCTCAACTTTTGATCAGGCTGTTCCTTTAGCTTCTGTTTTGCCGTCTGAAGCTCAATGTCTTAGTCCATATCAGTTAAATGATTCTAACCACTCTTGGTCACAAGGTTCTCACAATTTATCAGTTCAGTATATGAATTCCTCAAGTAATGGACGGAGGAAATCTGTTGGATTAAGAAACATGTAAGTTACTATGCAAATATTGTGTGGTAAGAAATTGATGTAATAACTGGATTTTAAAATCGTTTATATATGCTTGAGATCAATAATGTCTCTCGTTTATTGGTGTCGTAAGACATCTTAATAATGACTAATTTACAAAACTATTTAAATCCAGTGGCAAGACTATAATTTATGGGCGAGACAATCAGAAGCGCGTGAGTGATTTCAAGATCACGGCGCCTATTTCAATACCCAAAGCTCACGTATGGTCAATTAACGTTCATTCCAAAGAGGATGTCAAAGTTGAGCGGCTACAACAGATGGGATTACTGAAAAGTTCTTTTATTTGTGATTGCGGTGCTCAAATGACTGCTGGACATTGTACAGACTATTGCGACGATGTTGTATTTCGATGTAATATATGTTGAAGGAAAAAGTCTGCTAGAACGGGGACTTTTTTTACTCGATCCCAATTGGCGCTAATACAGGTTATGATAATTGTTATAAACTGGATAATGAAAGCACCAGTAGAGTAACACTGGCTGCAAACTTTGTAGACGCTACTGAAGCTTCGACAGTTCAGTGGTATGAGTACTGTCGAGATACATGTGCGATGACAAGCTTCAACCATTCTTTTGGAGGAATCGGGAGAATCATAGAAATCGATGAAACAGTCTTTAGAAAACGCGAATTCATTAGAGGAAGAAATGTTAAAGAATACTGGGTAAGTAGCTTTACCTTAAGCATACTTAGCAGGTCCTTTAAATATATGATAGGTCGTCTCAAAAGCGACACTTCCAGCACGTGAGAAACCGACAGGCTACAACAATATTACCGACTATACGAAAGTATGTGCAGCTGGGTACCGCTATATACATGGATGATTGGCGAGCATATCAATTCCAATCTGGAATCGGGTACGTGCATCGTATCGTCGTTCACAAGCGAAATTATATAGACCCTTCCATGGCACTACACAACAATAATATAGAAGCAATATGATCAAGGCTAGAAGAATTTTCGCGACCTCCAGAGGTCGATTATTATGAAGTCACATGGATGAGTTCCTGTATCGTATGCATTACTACTTCCAAACTGCAAAGCCTCTTTCTAATCTTGAAAAGTTTTTAAACCATGTTAAAGAAGTGTATCCACTCCAATTGTTTGGTTTTGTATGATATGTTCTTACTCCATACCGACTGTTTTCTGATTGGCTGAATCTTTTCAAGGTCACTTAAGGTTCATTCAATAATCGTCTACAAATAATGGTCTCACCAATTTAATCAATTTTAGGTAGACGTGAACATTAATTCAGTGATCTTCTAAACAGTTAAATTTAATAAATTGAACTGAACAATTTTTAGTAGGTAACATTATTAACGTAATTGTCAGTTCAAAAATACACTTCGATTTGCTAGTGTTTATCACTCTTCGTAAAGTGGTAAAGATTATTCATTCAATAGCTTATTGTTGTGTTGTTGTAGTTAACCTACGTCAGTTGTTCTAATAACCCGATCACAAATATCGGAATATAAACTAAATCTATTCATCATTACTCACTCTTAATTACATTCAGTTTGTTCACGAAAGCTTTCGAGTAGCTGGAAACTAACCTTATGATATTTTATCGTAAACATAATAAAAGACAAGTCATCCCCTAATACTTACTAGTTATTAATATTATGTTAGATAAGCTTTTCATTTTGTACAATCTACCGGAGATTAAAAATCTGTTATTTATCTGAATAATTTTTGTGATTTTACAGTCTGATAACGAATTGATAAATGCTTCAACACCAGATCATTTGAAGTAAATTCTATGCAAACTGATTCGTTATTAGTTTCTCATAATCTTTTTCTTTCTTTCACAAAAAATCATGTTTATGAATAAGTCGATTTTTTTCGTTTTAAGAACTACTTTGATAATTGTCTTTTTGTATTTGGAACTAAAAATATTTTCAGGAAACGATAAAATGTTGACCATTAATAATAATAATAATAATAATAATAATAATAATAATAATAATAATAGTGATAATAATTATATTATTATTATTACCACTACTCATAGTCATATGTACATGAAAAAAATAATGATGGTCCAAAACGTGATATGAGAAATGTTTATGCGTACGATTTCCCATTGATTCTCATGATTTATTTGGTCATTATTTTTATTCTTATGACAAAATGCCATTAATATTACTGAAGTGAACATGAAAACAATAATCCTATCACGTGTGTATTGTGAAAATTACTTTGGAATTTTCAATAGAATCGATTCCTATATAACTGTTTTGAAATGGTTTATTGATTTAATTTCAATTATCATTTTCAGATATTTGTTTGTAAATAAACATTGTATAAATTATTTACTTACCTACGCCTGTTACCCCTGATGGAGCAGGATAGACGGCCCATTAGGATTTTCCATTGAACTCTGTTCTGGACATTCTTTTCCATGTGTTATTCATTCTTTTGATGTTTTTCTACAATGTAGAAGGCAAATATTAATTTGGGATTAATTACAATTAGTGATTGTTTAAAACAGTTGATCGTTGTATTTTTTGTTAAAAATGTGTTTGTTCGGGTGTTTTATTTTTATTTCAAATGCTTTGTTTGATCTGATGATACACAGCAACTGATAATCACCACAGAACTCCTAAGCAATGTATACTCACACTGTCATTCAACTTATGCTGGGTTAGATGATATTTAATTGTAAATGGGTGGAGTATGCGTTCAAAGTAAATAAGGAATTCTAAGTATTCTCATGAGGAATCTGTAAAATGCATTAATTACTCACTAAGCAGTAACCAATGTCCTATTTGTCTAGTCTTGAATACTCTTCAATTGACAATGTGACCACAAATAATCAAAACTTCATGCAATATATTTTTTTTATGTTAGATGGTTGGAGGTGATCAACAGGAAACTGTTGAGCTATGTTCTGTACTAATTAGCACTGATCATCAAAGTGTATTTGTGATTTTGAGATAACTAATTCTCCTCATGGGGTGCGAGGCTATGTGAGTGGTAAGTGGGGATGTCTCAACCATCGTTTAGTGGAGGTCAGCTGCCTCGTCTACCGATTTGTCATCTCTACTACATACTTTGCGCCAAACTCCAGGATTTCTCCTTCAGTGGTTACGGTACACGTAAGCACGTGTTCTGAAAGAATGTGTGATAAAAATACTTATCACCTACAAATGTCCCTCACATGGGTAAGCCATATTTCACATCAACCGACATAGACCGGGCTACTTTTATATACGTTATCGAAATTCTGGATTTATTTTTATGTCTGACAGTGGGATTATGTCACCTACCAACTTAGCACGGCTTTTAAGACCTTCAAGATAATGTATCACTATATTTCCTAACTAAAACATTTTCACTCACTTGTCATGTACTTAGTCATCATTAATGGTATACGTTGGCTAGATTACAAAGATGAAATTTCCCACTAGAATTTCCATGTTAATACTTTGTATGTGACGTTTTGCAAAGTATTTTAAGTAGAAATGGATAGTGGCTAGCAGTGCGTTTCGTCCTATGTGAGACTCGTCACTTGAAAGTACCTGCAAATGCTTTATTAGCAGTTTGAAAACTACTGCTCAACTGTTAGCTCTTACTATGAAATTAGGTTTTATGTTTTCATTGATCATAATAATATACCGCATAAATGTTCATGTGGTCATATGATGTATTATGATAAGAATTGTGATAAGAATTATATAGTGGATTTTCCAAAGTGTACATTTGTAGTGCTATGCAAACCCATATAACTTATTCTAGCTTTCGGATAGACCAGTTTATTCATTTTGACCTTGTTAATTATTCGCTTATCAACCTTTAATTTTTTTATGTGAGCGTATGTGTATGCATTTCTTACTCATCACATTTCTTGTAACTTATGTTTGTGTGACTATAAATATCGATTCACTCTTGATTAGATGGAGTTGGCTCACTCGCCTTCTCCACTGTGCGTCATCTCGCTTCGCTCCGTTTCTGATTGTCTGTTCAAATCAGTGAGTGTACAAAATATACTCATTCAAGAATCCATTCTCGTATTTGGTTTATTTAATCCAGTTATTCACAAACATGATTTAAGTCGATGATCATGTACAAGGGTTAGCTATATGAATATTTCGATAACAAACAGCAAACGATCTACCTGGAGTCAGATATAAGTCCACTAAAGATTCACTTGATCGCTTAAGGTTGGACTATTTTTCCAACAGTTATTCATTTTCTGCAACAATGATTCAATTTCTACTACTTTCAACGCTTACTTGACATGTAAATCTTTAGTATGTTATATAACAGAATATTTCAAAGGAATGGGATAACTTTAACACCCATCAATTTTCTATATTAGGTTCATTCTGTTGTCAAATAGCTTTTGTATATAAAAGCTCTAAAATAATACCTACATATCTGGACACATATTAATAATGAGTGAAGTCGTTGTGAAAACTGACCGATTTATTCAATCGAAAACTTTTATTATTCACATACTGCTCATAATTAGCATAGGCTTCACATTTTACAATGATCATTAGTTCCTGTGGATCTTGATAATATAAAAAGAAAGGTAAATGCTCATTTTTTGCTTTGGATTGCTTAATATAAGTTCATGTACCGAGACTACTCATTGTCATCAGGTCTTTAGTATTACTTTAATGATAATAATGATTACACACTTTGAATGTAACGGAAAGGGAACCATGAAAGTTCACTTTCTTCATATATAACGTAAATGATGGCATCATTATGTATATCATGAAGGTATTAATGTTAGACCACCATTGATCGGTTTATGATTTCAATGATACTGAACAACCTCCCCAACCCTATACTGATAATTTATATATATGTAGTCAATAACTAATAGTGTGGTCATAGTTGGACTTTCTTTTTCTTTTAAAAAAGTCAGTCAGCTACAAAGGAGGACCAGGAACATATATGCATCGGTCCAAGTTGCCATGCCTCATTTTCACAGCATATATTATATTCTTAACAGAGTTATAAACTGATATAACATACTGTCTTGTCATTTGTTTACTTTCTGTATGTGTTCTTTTTTCTGTGATCTACACAGGTTTAGCAGGCTATTTGGTTATGATTTAACTGCCGGTGTAAATAGTCACTCATCAGGCGAATCTGTATCGAAATCACTGGAATCTAACCTTAATTAACATCGATATCATTTCGACGGATATATATGATGTTGGAATAGTTCTTAAATTATTTCAGTTGAATATCGGTGATATCTCTCTTTGACTAGCTTGGAATAATAATTCTTTTCTCAATCTATGTAATAATAATGACGTTGTTATCAAATTATAATATTCTTTTGCAGTTTTACAATTTACACGTCTTGTTCTATTTTATATACACAACTTTATCACTGTCATCCATCATTAATTTTACACTTCAATTACATTTACAAATTCGAATAAAAATAAGTGTATGTTTTTCTTTTTATATTCAACAGCTGTATTGTTTTTGCTGTTTAAACCAATTCTTTCATAATCGGTGCTTATATATGTTCATTTGTTTGTGTCAGCGCCTGTGTGTGTTAATCGAAGAGAATGTTATTTATCATGCCTTAATTTATTATTATTATTTTCATTTCTCCATGTCTTTCATAACTTGTATTTTGATTTCTACATTTTTTATATTAAAAACCAACATTACTTGTTAACCAACTTTTGTGTATCTAAGCAACTACGTTTTATTGTTTATATCAGTCGTACTTTTAAAGCAACATCTAGTAGAAGTAGTAGTATTCAGTGCATTATTTATTTTTCTACATTATTTATGTGTTTTATTTTGTTTTTCTGTGAAACATCTACATTATCTATTTGTTGTCTTTTTTTTTGAAAAATGAAATTTGCTCTGTTATGTAGCTTCCATTAAAAAAGAAAAAAACTTTTATTTAGTGATATTGTCCAGTTGAATGCGCATTATGGTTATGTTGTGCTGTATATTTTTTGGGGGGGAATAAAGTTGGGAGAACAAAACAAGACTGAGTGCATTATAGTTTTCCTGACAAGTTAGACATACACTAACTATATTATGACTTAATATAAAAAATAACCGATTGTACATTTTTTTGTAATACTTCCTGTCTTGAAATTAAGTTGTCTAACCTATTCCTGACAATATTTTATCTTACAAAAAGAAAACAGTATTGCAGAATTTCCAATGGTTTTATTTTACACAGTTTGTTTATATTAAATTATTTCTTCATTACATACTGAGTTAACAGCAAACATGCACCCAACTTTGTGTTTTATATTACCAACTAATTTTTGTTAGAGACTCATTGGGATTCTTATTCTATTTAGACAAAATAGCTACTAAATGCTCCCTTGTCTTCAATGGTTGTCTAACCAAAGTCAGTCCGTGGTTGGTAACTTCAAACCGAACTATCTGTGCAACATCATGAAATAACGAAGTAATAATTGTTTGATATTAATTAATCTTGGGAAATAATCTTAGATTTTAAATCCATTTAGAAATATATACCAATCAGTTATACAGAAGGCCTTTATTAATCAAATATTCATTTGGTTTTTTTGCTTACAAATAAGTTGATCGAATTCTCTAATGTTATTTCTCAAAGCTATGTAAAACAATGTATGCCTAAAAATATTGGTGATTAGTTTATGTAGTTTAAAATCAAATTAACTCTCCAAGATACGAATGACAAGAATTTTTAAATAATTTAGATAGCAAACGTTCATTGGTTTCTTTCTTCGTTCACTTGATAGAAAGTCAGCTTGATCGTTTAAATATTCAACTTTTAATCAACGAAGTCAACTATTCAAACACAACTCCACTAAAGTCAGTCAGTATAGCTGGATAGTGTGACGAATTCTCACAGATACTAAATGTTTAATTAAATTCTAAATAGACAAATAAGTGCTTTATACAATTAATACTATTGGAAAGCATTAACGTTAAATATTAATGGTTTCTATTGTATCCATTGCTGATATTTAAAAAGTCGGGAAAACGTAACATCAATATTGTTCTAAATAATTTCACAGTAATTTCAAACGTCACGTTACTTAAAACGGAAGTAATAAAAGGGATAGGTGTTTATAAATTTGAAAGATGTCATGTATTATGTAATTATTAAAATGGTGTTTAATTGTTAGACGGAATGAAGAAGGAAATTTTATAATGGTTCAAGAGCTTTTCAAAAGTGATTAGTCAAAATACTGTGTTATGGAAAAGATAAGTAATCTTTATCTATCATAAACTGTCTATAATGGAAAATAATGTGTTGAGTTGATCGATCCATTTGTTACAAATGAAAATTATATTTGAGTTAATATCTGATTGAAATTTAAATAATTCCAACGTTTCTCCTAGTAGATATGTCTGGATTTCTTCAGGGTACTAATCGAAATTGGTAACTTCGATAAAGTAAAACATGAGACAATTATGTTTATTAAATTAGTCATTATGTTAATCACTATAATACTTGTTTAAACTTAATAAATGCTTTTTTAAAGTTGTTTCAGTAGATGTATTTAGTAAAAATAAAAGAAATTCATCAAAGAAAATTTTTCTTTCCGACTAAATCATTTACTCAAGCTATACATTCGTATTTGTAGTTATTCGATAAATGTGTAAGTCTATAAGAGAATAAAAAGAAATTACATCATAAAATGATTCTAGATTTCAAATATGAAAGGTTAGGTAATTGTCGACAGGTTAGAGAAGAGGATGAAAAGAAAATGAAATCAAAGGCAAGTTGGGTCAAAAGTTTGTGTATTGCTGGGTTGTCGATAATTCACCACTTCAATGCACAGAAGCAACACATGCAACTTCACATTCTTCTATGGCCCTAATGCTGTTCTTCAGTGTTTCGGTTTTTTATTTTGTAATTTTTCAAACCGTAATCTGTTTTTAGTATTATCCTTTAGCAATTTTCATGGTCATTATTCAGTTATTAAGTGGACAATTATCTCTTATATTCCTAACCCGTTAAGGATTCTTATCTCCCATTCTTCTTTAACTTCTCAACAATTACCTAACCTTTTATATTTGAAATCTAGAATCATTTTACGATGTAGTTTCTTTTTATTCTCTTATAGACTTATACATTTATCGACTAACTACGTATACGAATGTGCAGCTTAACTAAATAATTCTATCGGAGAGGAAATTTTCGATGAATTCTCTTTATTCTTGTTTAATGACACAATGAGCTACTTTAATTATCGGAAGTATTTAAATCAATGAATGATTCTAACTTTCGTAAGCACATTGCTTCATTTGCAGTAATTTCAATCTTAGTTCTAAATTATGTTACAGAATCCTATTTAATTCACTTTTTGAACTAAATCACTTTGGTACTAACGTTCAGTTATCAAAAATATTTGCTTTCCCAAATGCATTAGTTAAATGTAGCCTTATCGAAAAAATCCAATTTAGTGATTAACCATCTTTATAAAATCTGTCATAATTTCAATAACGAACGACAGTAGTTTAAATGTCGAATGATTTGTATTCTAACATGACTCATACAGTTTAATACAATCATATAGTTATGGTCTCGGAAGATACACATTTATATGAAAAGGTTATAATATGATTACTTGGAGTCTACTAAGAAGCAATGAAACAATCGAAAATCTTAACACTATCGATAATTTCGACTTATACATACCAAGCAAAACAGATGAAAGTAATAATATTACCTAGAATTTAAATAAACGAGTTGTGTATTACTTATGATCAAATTGTTTGAAAGGTAAATGTCACAGCAGGGTTGTCATTAATGATAGAAGTGGTAATTAGGTTACTAGGGCCTATGGTTCTATTACGCAATAAAACGAAGAAATTATTAAGGATTTATGTAAAGAAAACGAATTGTGGATTAAACTCACTGAATTGTAAATGATGAATAGAAAAAATTATACACACTATTCATTTCTGCTACCAATGCAGTTAAAGGTTGAACAGTGATTCTTTCTCAATACGGAGTCCAGGTTTTATCTCTTGACTGTAACAACCTTAACATGTATTTATTTTATATTTTAAGTGTATACTGCGAACTCTTTTAACGTCTGATGTCCAGTAGACTGCACACTATGGAATTATGAGGCTTACCTTATCCTCTGATAATTAAGTTTTTGGTATAAGGTTAATAAAGCGCACTGATACATGTCTTTCTGTTCTTGCAATGTATCTGGTTTTGCATGTAAATACAAATTAGCATATATGATTGTACGTGATATGTGTAGGTAATTTATCTGTTTCATTCGCTTTATTGAGCATCGCATTATATGTGTTGGATTGAGTTTCTCGGTAGTAAATCTACTAGTTAAAGCTTCCTTCAGACTAGCTAATTTAAACGTCAGTCAGATGACATGTTTCTTTTCAGGTTTATTACCATTCGTTCCAGTGTTGCATTTATTATTACATTTCACCATAAATATTTCCCTACACAATTTTTACTCGAAAATACTTTTCCGCAATTGCACATACTGCTTTGAGTTTTCCTACAGAATATAACTTCTTAGTCTTACTATACAGAGGTTTCACTAAACCATACTTATTAGTTTATCAAACAAAAGCCATTTAATTATAGATATTTTTTGCTGCGAATTTCCTTCTGAAATATATACACCAATGGAAAACCCCATTATTTTTTCTAGCGAATCTTAAGTCTAGGAAATAATGCGTATCATTACTTTCATTTACAAATACAAACCTGACACAGGATTTATTAAAAATTTCAAATGGCTTATTTGCATGATATATACCTTTACAGGTAAATAAAAGCACCATTATGTACCTTGGATAAAATTCGGTCTCTTTGATGGAATAAAGTAATATAGATGTCTTCAGATTTGCTATGAAAATATAAGGATGGACTAGCACGAAGGGGACGTCATTAGCCACGCCACTCGCTTGACTGTATAGTTTATTATAGAACTGGAAATGAACATTTTTGGCATATAGCCGTAGCAATTGTTTGAGACTCAACTAGGAAACAGATATGTTTTCCAAATACTAATAAGTAACTTCAACTGTCCCTTCCAAGGGACATTTGTATACACATAATACTATCCATTTATAGTATCGTTAATAAATAATAAAAATACGGAACTCAAGAAATAACAAGTATTTTAAATCAATAAAATGTAAACAGCCTTAGCTTCGTCTTCACATATTTATAACACATTTATTGATTTAAAATCATAGTAGTAACGATGATCTAGTATTATTTGTGGTAATATTTAGTGTTTTAGCATCATTTTCTTGCGGTAATGTTGATATCAATCGGAAGCGTAGTGATATCAGAAATAATAGTCATAAAATGAATAATTGTGCTTTTGGTTTTGTTTCTTGATTAGGCCCAATCATCATCATCATCATTTTTTTCATTTTTATACTTGTTTTATTATGAATTAAAACTAGATATTTGTTTTAGTGACTAGCAGTGGAATCCAGGACGCGCGTTTCGTACTATTTGGGACTTGTTTCAGTCTTAAACCTCAATGGGAAGATACAAACCAAACATTACCAAGTGAATATATATTTGTTTTGGATCGCACATAAACTGTTTATAGATCTATTTCATGTAATTTATAAATGTTATAAACGAAATTACACTACATGCGTATTGTTATTATTATGAAGTTAGTTTTCATTAAAAATTCATATCAAGTAAAGAACTATCAAAAATTACAGAGTGCCATATAATTTGTTTACTTTCCAGCCTAGAACTCCTTAGGAACTCATAACCAAGGATGGAATCCAGTGGATACGAGTCAGGATCACGTGATTTACATTTTCAGTTTGAGTAAACATGTAATATCGCACAATCACCATTCTAAGTCACCTATTAGTTGGTCTCCCATTGTCTTCTGTGGGTAACTGACTCAAACCTGACACGATTGAACCCCGAGAATTCCCTCTTGGAACTAGGAACTAGTGAGCAATATCATGGCTCGATTGAGGTCAGACATTAACATCCTTGGGTGTCGGCGCAATGGTTTAATGCTTAAGCATTCAAGCGCAAGACCTAAGGTCCTGGGTTCGATAACTGCTTGAGTGGTCGTGGATGCGTACAGTTAAAGAATCCCATACTAGGACGTAACGGCCGTTCAGTGCTTCCACGTTTCCAGTTATGGTCTTACACTGATCAGTTGATGTTTTCAACGAAACTCAACAATCTTCGCAACTGATCGTCATTTGTATGATGGCAGAATATATCGGTATATTAAATTTTGTTTATGAAAATAGAAAGACGGACAGTAGTTTATTAGCCCGACTCAGAATAATTACAAAAAGAAAACAATGGTTATTGATCATAACCTTCTTTTAGACTGGTGAACGGAATTATGATTTTACTGATTTCTCAGTTTTAAATAGCCGATACAT